AAAGTGAGAACCCAGATTATCATCCAAAGAGGAGGATAGAGCATCCATGGCAATACAAAACAAAAGAGGAGATAAGGGACAACCCTGTCTCAAGCCCGAAGAAGACTTAAAATATCCTTCTAAAACCCCATTAACAGAGATAGAGAAATGTACATCAGATATGCACCCTTTAATCCAGTTAACAAAGATGTCTGGAAAACCTTTTTGAGAGAGTCTATGTAGTAAGAAAGAACGAGAAACCGAGTCAAAAGCTTTTCTAACATCAAGTTTGGCACAAAAGGATCCCTTACTACATCTGAAATCCCGCAGAATCTCAGAAGCAAGAATGATGTAATCAGTAGAACTTCTTTTAGCAACAAAACCAGACTGGGATTTGTTAATAATCAAGGGCAATATAGGCTTCATCCTATTAGCAATAATCTTGGCAACAATCTTGTAAAAAACATTACATAGAGATATAGGACGATAATCAGAAATAGAGGAAGAATGAGAACCCTTGGGAATGAGAGTGATAACCGTAGATTTGGCCCCTCTAGACATAAGCCCAGTGGAAAAGAAGTGTTTAACAGCCGAGCAAAGTCTATGCCCAGAAATCAACCAGGTTTTTTGATAAAAAGCAAAAGAGTACCCATCAGGACCCGGAGTTGAAGAAGCCACTCCCCCAAAAACCACCTTCTTGATCTCATCATTAGTAATAGGAGCAATTAAAGCAGCTAAAGCAGTAGAAGGGACAGTATTACCAGTCGGGATGTTGTAAGAGCTTTGCAGAGGAGGGGCCGGAGCATTGAATAAAGACTGGAAATGATCCACAAGTGCCTTAGAAATTTCAGCATGAGAAGTAAGGATTCCAGTGTCAGTAGCAAGCTCTTTAATCAAATTCTTGTTGGTTCTAGCTCGTATCTTGGCAAACAAAAAGCCAAGATCATCCTCTCCATGTGACAGCCAATAGGCCTTAGCTCGTTGAGAAATCCAAGAAGACCAAGCAACATGGGCCAGAGCCAGTTGCTCATTAGTATTCTTAAGGCTGATATTCAGTTCCGGGTTAAGAGGATCATTTTGAATTTGCTCAAGGCTTAAAGCTTGTTGATTTTTCAGAAGCATAATGTTATAAGAAAGATAGTTGGAAGAGAACCAATTCTTCTTTTTAATAGCATTTTTTAAAGCAGCCAAACTATCATAAAGAGAGGCAATAGGGGAGGCAGCAAGAGGCCTGTCAAAAGCAGTGAGCAATTCATCCCAAAAGATATCAATGCTAAGCCAAAATTCCTTAAACATGAATCTAGAGGCCCCTTTTTTAACGGGATTAGCTAAAAGGATGATAGGAGCATGATCGGAGCCAGAATGTGAATCCACTTTATAATAAGCCAGAGGAAAAATATCCAAAAAGGAAGAGTTAATCAGCATACGGTCCAATTTGATGTGAATCGGATTATGAAAACAAACTTAATAATTATTTTAATTATATTTATATATTCATTTTAAAATTTTTAAAAATTTGAACTGCGAATTAAACAGAATAATATTAAATATTACATTATTACTTGCTTTGAAAACATTTAACGATGAGTTAGGCCGGGTCAATTGTCCGCCTCCTTCGTCGAATATAATCAAAGTCTCAAAGAGGAGGCATTTGTGGGTCCTACTTCTTCGGCTCATCCTACCCCTTTTTTTTGTCTTAAGCTGTGGATGAGAAGGAGACAAAAGTACCCCAAACTTTCCCTATCGCTCATTAGTGAATGCCTATATTGCAAAAATGGACCTCTAATTATTTGAATTGATAAAATCATTGTTATAAACTTTCATGCAAATAAATTAGATTAATTTATGAGATAGAATAATTAGTATGAGGAAAAAATGAGGATAAATATTTAATAAAAACATTTTAGATTGGGAATTGAAATTATTGAATTAAGTTTTAATTGATTAATATGTGTTGCAAATATTTGATAGCAATTTTAACAATTTTAATATTATATTGACCCATCTTATTTATCAGAGTTATTCAATCACAAAACTCTTTTAGTCATTTGGAGTATTCGCTAAGCTTATTAGGGTTCTTTTGAGAATAAATTGTGAAGCTAACTCAGCCTCTACTTGAAGCTCTCAATAACATTCACTCCAAGAATGAGTGCAAACAATATTTATTTGCGAAATTACAAGTTAAATTAATTTTTTTATGTACTTTTCTAAGATGTTTATCATGTAGTCCTTTTTGTAAAACGAATTATGAGTAAGAGATTCGTGTGTGCTTGATTAAACTTTACTAGTTTTGGTTAAAAATTTATCTCCTTGAGATCTTGTGTGTTAATTCTCTAATGTATTTCTTAACTTGATGTGATGAGTCATTTCTCCCTCTAAGGGGTTAGCTAAGTCTTTTATAATTCTCAAACCACTTAACAATATATTTGAATTTGATCATTGTACTTGATATGTAATTGTCATGAAGTTTTAGTACTCATAATATTTTATCAATATCTTTGAAGGTGTGATGAGCATGCAGATGACCAAAGAAATGAATGAAGTTATGCAGTGTCATAAGAAATGGTCATTGTTTAACGACTACCAAGTTGACCTTGTCACTTCCAATCTAGCTAGTAACTCTAGCAAATTGAAGATTGTTTCATTAGTATGATCTAGAGAAACTTTGAAATATTATCTCAGGTTAATCCATTTGTTTATTCTCATCCAGAGCATGGTTCAATATCTCATTCATCATCATTACTCCATCACTAGAGCTACTGTTTAGATTCCATTTGATGAAGAATCATGGTTCCTTAAGGAGACTACACTAGAGACTCTAACCTAGAAAGAGTCAAATGCAACCCCTTAATGCTTTTCAGGTAAAACTCATATTGAGCTTCTCAAGAGATTCAAAATGTCAATTTTGACTTTTATAGAGGAAGATCATACCAAGTTGACCACGAGACTCTTATTGGGTTCACAATCTTCCTTATTATTACGAGTAATGTGGTGGAGTTCAAGCTCATCTTAAGCATATTGTTCAAGATGACATCATTGTTGTAACTTTTATGACATCCATTAGAAAGCCTTATCAACTTCTCATACTTTAAATACAATTTATAACATGAGTTGTCAGCACTTAGAAGATGTTGAAGAATTCTCAAACTCCCTTCGCATGGCGAAGATATTATATAATTAATATGCCACTTTGTAAATCATCTTTTATGCAACATATAAGATTTGCAAGATTTGTAGACTATCTTAGCTCAAATAACTATCACTTAAAGCTCTGGAATGACCACTATAGATAAGCACTTATCTTGCAATATTCAAAAGTTCAGTCATTTGATAACTATTAATTTACTTTTAATTCATATGAGTGTAGTTATTATATATGTTGACTTATCTCTCCATACACAACCAACATGTGTTGGCTCGTCTCCACTAATATTAATTTACAAATTTTGTAATTCATTCAATGTAACAATCACTCTAAATTATAATTCTAAACATTGAAATATCATAATGTAATTCATAAATAAATATTCATTTAATACCTTATAGATATTACATTATGAGAACTATATGTGATGATTTATTCCAAAAGAATATGAAGGCATGTAATTTTCTTTACCCTCAATCATGTGGCAAAAAAGATACCAAACATGTTACTTGCTTAATTATTCATTATAAGAACCTTTTTTTTAATATTAGTGATCAAATTTATAAATTTAATTTCACATGTCTTGACTAACCTCTCATGTCAAAATAAATTTGAGCAAATATCATGAAGCAAGTAAAAAAATTTAAATTAATATTATTTATTCATTTAATCACATATTAAGATGAAAATTTTGATATATTATATGTATCATTAATGATATGGTAAATTTAATTTAGTATTTTTAAAATAATATTTAATAATGCCTAATAAAAAAGTGTTTAGTGCAGGAGGAGAACCCGACGAGTAGCTTTTAATGCCTAACAAAAAGTGTTTAGCTTTTTTGGAGGGATCTCAAGTAGGCATTATGTTACTTGTGTGGCACCCTAACCTAGCTAGTAAATAAGTAATTTATTTCATATAATTTTTATAGAAAATTTAATTAAAAATAATTATGAATGAGACCTTTAAAAAAATTGATACTATAAATGATAAAATAAAGATAAATTTATTGACTCTTTGTTATAATATTGTGGATGAAGTAGTAGGTGTAAATAAAATAGTTAGCATATCATACTTATTGTGAGTATATCAACATCTAATGATTCACTTCATCAACTAAGTGGGAGGTGCCATCATAAAGATCATATTTTTGACTTTGGTGGTACATTTCATTGTTATCTCCCTCTCCTATCCTTTCACTTCATGTTTCTTTTTCTCTGAAATTATCACTCACCTAACTAGAATGTAGTGGGACTAGATAATATATTTACATATAATAATTTCTCTCTCTCTCTCTCTCTCTCTCTCTCTCTCTCTCTAAATTAGCTCCTTTTATATCTTCATTCAAAAAGAATTTTTCATTCTAAGGTTCAAGAGCTTATTCTTCATGTCAAAACTTACTAAATGACTTCGAAAAAAAATGACTCCAAAATATGATAAATGTACGTGTATTGACAGGTCATTTTATGATTAAGTTTATTTAAAGCGTACATAATTTTATTCAATACCTTTTGATCAATATTTTTAATATATATAGTAAGCATATTTTTATGATCAATACACGTATAATATATATAGTAAGTATATTCTAATACGAAACAGGTCAATTCTAAAATTTTTAAATTCATTTCAAAATTATAATATAAACTTCAAATAATTCCCTCATAAATTACACTAATATATTTTTATGTATAATTAAAATCATAATTCAACAGTTGATACCTCTTCTCTTTCTCCCTTCCTCTCAAATTCTATTAACATTTAAAATTTACTACTCATAATAATAATAATAATTATATTAATTTCATAATAATTATTAATTAAGAAGTCTATTTCTATGCCAAAAATGTGATCATGTTTTTAAATCATTAAAAAGATGTCATTATTAGTGCCACATTAAAGTTGAAGATATAGGCTATCTTAAAATGAGCTGTTAGATTCAACTCATTCGATATTCTAATAATTTTTAACAAAAATAGATTCCCCAATTTATTTTCTCTTTCCACATTCATTTTGTCACTTTCTAATTACTCTTGCCCGGTCACTTTCCTGCTTCTGTTCACGGATACAAATGCGCCTGTAATTTGAGTAAAGGGCTTGATTTGTCAACCATGAAGTTTACGAGCCCGATTCTGCAATTTAGCCATAAAAAGAAGCGGATGGGCCTGCGTCGTTCATTTGACAGAAGAACCGAGTCACTGAGAGCAAGAGATCGCTGAAGATCAAAAGCGAGAGAGAGGGAAAGAGAGCGAGAGGGAGAGGGAGAGGGAGAGGGATGGGAACGGGCTGGCGGAGAGCTTTCTGTACATCCATTCCTCGAGATCCAGAAAACGCGGTGGCGACGGAGAAGCGGCAGGATCACCGGCGAGTTCGGCAGCAGTTGAGCGCTTCTTCGAGTCCGAGCAATCCGAGTCACAGCCCCGGAAGCTGCGCAAAGTTCGGAGTTTTCTCCGGGGGCGGAAGCAGCAATTCATCTTCGCTCCGCCTGCGTTGCCGGACGGGGGAGGCTTCGTCGGAGCATCCGTTGCTGTCGCCAGCATTGGATAGTATGAGCGGCCATCATTGTAAAAACGGCGACTTTACTACACCGTGCACCCCGCCGCCTCCGTCTTCTGCTGGTGTTAAGGGAAGCCCGAGACTGCTACTAACGCGCTCGAACCCTGCTTCCCCTCGTTCCCCTTCCAGATTCGCCTTGTTGAAGGCTACGCTTCGTCTTTCTCGGGTAAAGCAAAGTTCTTTCCTTTGTTTTGTTCTCGAATCTTCTAATTAGTTTTGATTCTAAGCTCAAATGGGCATCTGCGAGCTGGATCGGATGGATCTGGTGATTAGGATAAGAATCAAGATCATTCTTTTTTTGCTTATTAATGTTACCCTGCAGATTGTCGCAATTATGAAAAATATCTTCTGTGATTTCGTCCTCTCATTAGAAAATGGAACTGAAAAGCTTTATCTTTTACCTTTTTCTTCTGATTCTTCTCTGTCCATCTTTTTTTCTCGTTCTCTGCTATATATACGCTTGGGATCTACCCTGCCCTTTCCCCACTTTGATTTTTATAAAAATCTTATCTTGTAGCATAGTATTTATCCTTTTTCTTCTCCTTCGATTTGGAATCTGTACTGATGGCGTTACGCTGTGCTGATTTTGGTTGCAGAGCCGGTGCGGAATATGCTCTCAGAGCGTGAGAACGGGCCAAAGAACCGCCGTTTTCACTGCGGAGTGTTCCCATTCCTTCCATTTTCCCTGCATCTCCACTCATGTCCGTAACCAGAGCCGAAACCAGGCTGGTTGTCTCTCCTGCCCTGTCTGCTCTGCTTCATGGCGCGAGGTTCCTTTGCTATCTTCTGCTCATTCGCAGGCAGCGCCACTCCCGCCTTCTTCCACCAATAAAGATTTTAATAATTTCAGCCACACTAGCAAAGCCAGGATCCAACGCGGTGGAGAAAACGATCTAAAGCAATCAGGCAATAACAAGCTGTACGATGACGACGAGCCTCTGCTACTTTCTTCGACAACCCAAGGCGGTGGCGGCCATCACTTCAATCCGATACCAGAAGCTGATCTTGAAGATGAGGCAGAAGGAGGAATCAGTTGTGGAAGAAACGGAGTTGAAGTAGGTGGTTGTGGCGTGGAGGTAGTTGTGTTGCCGGAAGCAGCTCTGGTCTCCGCAGATCGTAATCATCAGAGCTACGTCATCTTACTGAGAGTAAAAGCTCCGGCTTTTGCTCAGCGATCTGTTTCCAAGGTAGCGGCTTCGGTACTTGATCCATCTTGTCGAGCTCCTATAGATCTGGTTACAGTGCTTGATGTGAGCGGAAGCATGACGTCGACGGCGAAGCTTCAGATGTTGAAGAGGGCGATGCGCCTATTAATCTCTTCATTGGGCTCATCCGACCGCCTCTCCATAGTCGCTTTCTCGGCCGGAGCCAAGCGGCTTCTCCCTCTTGTAAGGATGTCAAGGCAGGGCCAACGTTCTGCTCGGCAGATCGTCGACAGGCTTATAGTCTGCGGCAGCGGCGGCGGCCGTGGAGATAATGGTGTGCAGGGCGACTGTCGATGCATTGGCCACGCCCTCCGGAAGGCAACTAAAGTGCTTGAGGATAGAAGGGAGCGTAATCCAGTGGCAACCATTATGCTTCTCTCTGACAGTCATCAGGAGCAGAAGCGAGGGAAAGAGGGGTCATCTGATTCCTCGCCAAGACTACGGGAGGAAGAAACTGATATGGAAAAGCATCTCCGCAATCCAATTCCTTCCTCAACAGACAACGTAGCCACACGCTTCGCCCATCTTGAAATCCCCATCGGATGCTCCACCGAGCTCGGCAGCGGCGGCGTTAACCATGTCGAAGATGTTTTTTCTAAGTGCGTGAGCGGGTTGGTCAGCCTGGTTCTTCAAGACGTTCATCTCCAGCTCACCTTCCCCTCTGCCTTCGTCTCCTCAATTTATTCGCATGGAACCCCCGGCGGCGGCGGCGGCGGCGGGGGAGAAGGATGTGTTGGGCTCGCTATATCGCAGGGACAAGGTGGAAATGGCGCCATATCGGTTAGATTGGGAGATTTCTACGCCGATGAAAAAAGAGAGCTTCTTGTGGAGCTGAGACTACCGGCGGCGGCGCCTCAACAGCAAAGGAATGATTTTTTATTTTACAAATGCTGCTATCGAGATCCGACCAGTCGGGAATTGGTTCTTTGTCAGGAGAGATCGCTCGTCTTGCCATCTCTGCGCCAAATTTCGCCTATGGCCGTGAATTCTCGAGAGCTCCGCAACTTATTCATCACAACCCGAGCTCTGGTTGAATCTCGCCGCCTTGCCGACCACAATGACTTAGAAACAGCCGCACATCTTCTCTCCACAGCTCGAACTCTACTGCTACAATCCAACTCCGTCCCTTCTCACCACCAAAAGTATGTTACCAGCCTAGAGCTAAGGCTGTCGGAAATCCAGCGGCGGCACAGGCGGCAACAGCTTCCATCGTCGTCTTCAATGGCGCGGCCTTCGGATCAACTGACGCCTACCTCGGCCTGGCGTGCCGCCGAGCAGCTTGCCAAGGTGGCGATTTTAAGAAAGTCGATGAGCCGAGTGGGTGATTTACATGGATTTGAGAATGCGCGATTCTAGCTAGCTAGAAACATAGGGTGGTGGTGAAAAAAGAGATTTTTTTTTTTTTTCTTTTGAACTGTTTGATTGATTCAAGTTGTTTGAAATTTGTTTAACTTTTCTCGCTTTAAGCTATAACTGTATGAAGGAATATTAATTATGAGAAAGTTGAACAGTTGAAGACTGCAAGCCAATCATTTCAACATTATCCTTTTTTTTTTCTTCATGATTGGAAAATAAATTTGATTGTGGATGGTTGCTGTCAAATTAGCAACAGTTTGAACTTTGATAAAATGAAAATTTATTTATTTTTTAAAAATACTTTTTAACAGTTCTTTGACTCAATTAGTTGTATTTTGAGTAGAATGTATTTAAAAATATGAATTTTAAGTTCCTAAGTATTTTGTTAAAATTAAATTATAATTATTATTCTGAAGAATTAGAAAATCGAGAAAATGATTGGCATGTTACACCCTGGGTTGTATGATAAGTCATGGAGGCCAACTTATGTATAAGGTAGGGGTGTATACGAGTCAAGTCAAGTTCGAGTTAGGCATGTTGTGCAAACAAACACAGTGGATACAAAAAAATCAGAAATCACAGCTCAATTAATCACAAAGAAGATGGTGATTGACATTGTTTGGCAAAGATGCCTATGTCCATGGGGAGGGGATTGTGATTTCATTATATAGGAGAATAATAGTGAATTACAATAGCTCTCAAGCTCTCTCACCTCTCATGAATTCAAGAGCAGCCATCAAGGCTCTATTTATAGATTTGAGTCAAAGTAAATTAGAAAAAAGCTTCCTAATATAATTATAATTAAATGTCAATCAAATCCCTAATAAATACAATAATTAAATATCCTTAATTAATGCATCAATCAAATCTTCAATAAAATCCCTAATTAATGTGATAATTTGACCCCTTAATTAATGCATCAATTAAATCTCCAATCAAATAAACTTAATTATGGAAATAATGCATTTCATAATCAATTACAATAATGAGCCATTAAAATCTTCCAAATCAAGGCTAATTTAGATTTGTAAATCTTTCCAAAAAAAACAAGGTGAATATTGTGTTCGAACTTAAGCTTGAGGTCGAGTCTGAACGAACCCCCAGCTGGCGGTGACGGAGAGAAGAACCAAACAGAGAGATAGAGGAATGAAGAAAGAAATGTATATTTCATTATCTAGTAGGTGAATACATTGGTAGTATAAATAGAGAAAGTCATGAATAAAATGTTACAAGGAAACAATATAAGTAAACTAGTTCCACATGTATGGGTTCACTAACATGCCCCCGCAAAAATGATCATTCGTCTGATGAATGTTCTTTTTTTTACAAAGTGTGGTGATTCACCTTGTCGTGGGTAGTGGCTTGGTGAAAATGTCTGCGATATGATCACTTGAGCTGAGATGAACGATCGTTATGTTGTCGGAATTGAGATGCTCGCGGATGAAGTGATGATCTATCTCAATATGCTTTGTCCTGGCATGGAATACATGATTATGAGCAAGAGAGATGGCGGATGTGTTGTTGCAGTGAATAGTGGTAGGCGAATTTTGAGATATTTGAAGTTCTTCGACGAGGCGACGAAGCCATAGAACATCTGAGACGGTGGTAGAGAGTTCCTTGTATTCAGCTTCGGTAGATGATTTTGTGAAGGTGGTCTGTTTCTTAGAAGACCAGGAGATGATGTTAGGACCAAGAAATGTACAGAACCCATATATGGACTTACGGTCTGAAGAATCCGCAGCCCAATCTACGTCAACGAAGGTGCAAAGCTGAAGGTCTCTGCGGGTAAGCATGAGACCGAAGTGAGAGGTGCCTTTAATGTAGCGGAGTAGATGTTTAAGAGAGTTAAAATCTGATGTGGTGGGATTGTGCATATGTTGGCAAATTGAATTGATGGAGAAAGCGATGTCTTGTCGTGTTATGGAGAGATACTGCAGAGAGCCAGCTAGCGTGCGGTAAAGCTGAGGGTCCATGTATAGTTGAGTTGAAGTGTTGTCGTGCTTTGATTTGGGGGTGATTGGTGTTGGAGCGGGTTTACATTTGGCGAATCCTAACTTCTCAAGCAATTGGTGGCATAATGTTGTTGGTGGAGGAAAAATCCAGTTTAAGTTTTGGTAACTTGAATTCCGGAAACGTCGCCCATTTGCTTGATTTTGAAGGTGGAATGCATGTGAGTTAGGAGACGTGGATGGTTTCATTATCGATGCTAGTGAGAAGAATATCATCAACATATATGAGAAAATATAAATGAATATTTTTTATGTGTAAAGAAAAAGGGAGTGATCAGAGCGACTAAACCAGAAGCTGAATTGAAGGAGGAAGGTTGTAAGTTTCTGGAACCATTGTCGCAGAGCCTATTTATATCCGTAAAGAGACTTGAGGAGCTTGCAGACATGATTGAGTAATTGCGAGTCAGTGAAACCGGGTGGTTTCCGTATGTAAACATCTTCAGAGAGTTCACCGTGGAGAAAGACATTTGAGACGTCCAGTTGAAGAACGAGTGTAAGTAAAATTCGTATGATTGGTACTTTTGCAATTGGACTGAAAGTTTCATTGTAATTGATGTCAAATTCCTGCGAGAAGCCTTGAACCACTAGTCTTACTTTGTATTTATCTACTTTTCTGGATGGTAGAGTTTTTATTTTGTACTTCCATTTGCCCCCAAGAACTGGTTTGTTGGCGGGGTGAGGTACTAAGGACTTGGTTCATTGTTGTTGTAAAGCAAGAAATTCAGCTAACATAGTCGAATGCCAATGCTGATGTTGGACGACCTGAAAATATGTTGTGGGGGCTGTCTGAGACGATGTGTTTGCTAGAAGAACGAAGATCTGCTTTGGCTTAGTGATGCCTGATTTTAGTCTAGTTGTCATGGGGTGTGCTGGGGCGAGTTGATAAGGTTGATGGGATGATCCTGATGGTGGGTGGATGGTTGTGGACGGAGAGGAATATGTGGAGAGGGAATTTGATGTGAGTGGAAAGGAATTTGGTTGAGATGTGTTATCATAAGAGTGAAAGTTGAGATTTGTTGAACATGTTTTCGATGTGGTAGGGATGGTTGAGTGTGGAATCAATAAAAGTGGGGAGATGAAATTATTTGATTGATCCGTGGGAGTAGTGTTGTTGGGAGGGACAGATACGTAGGGGAATATGTTTTCATGGAATATGACGTGTCTGAAAATGAGAGTTTTGTCGGAGATTGTATTGAAGCACTTGTATCCTTTGTGAGTGGAAGAGTATCATAAGAAGATACATTGTTGAGATTAGGGAGAGAGTTTATTTAAAGTGTATGGTTTTAGCCAGGGAAAATAGAGATCTCCAAACGTGTGAAGGTGAGAGTACGTGGGAACCTATCCATGAAGGCATTGATACAGAGTTTGAAAGAAGATGGATTTGGAAGGAAGGCAATTGATAAGATAATTTGTGGTGGAGAGAGCTTCGGCCCAGAAGTGATGTGGAAGAGATGAGGCATGTAAAAGAGTGTGAGTGAGATCAAGTAAGGGCCTGTGTTTACGCTCGACTAAGCCATTCTGCTCAGGGGTATGGGGACAACTTATCTGATGAATTATTCCTTTTTCCTGAAGGAAGAGTTTGAATTTAGTGTTGGTGAATTCGCCACCCCCGTCGGAGCGAAAGATTTTTTGGGTGGAGGTAAATTGATTTGCGATGAGGTTGCAAAAATTCTTGAATTTCATAAATGTTTCTTGTTTAGAATGCATCGGGTATATCCAGTAGAATCTCGTGTAATCATCGATAAAGAGAACGTAGTATTTAAATCCATCTAAAGATGGTTATGGAGCAGGGCCCCAAACATCAGAATGAATCATAAAGGGAGAAGAAGAAATAGTAATGATGTTATTAAACGATAGTTTATGGCTTTTAGCCACGTTACAATATTTGTAGAAAAAAGATGAAGGTACAGAGGTAATATCGGGAATGAACTGAGCTAAAAATGAAAATCAAATTTTTATGTGGATGTCCTAAGCGAGCGTGCCACAGTTGAGGTGAATTTGTGGTGGCCTGAAGAGTTGTAGATGTGGTAGGAGGGGAGAGCCGAAGTTGATAGAAACCATTACAAAGATGCCCATGAAGAAGTGGTCGATGATCATGCCTATCATTAATAGTGAATTCATTAGAATCAAAATAAATGCATACATAATTATCGGATGTTAATTTTGAAATGGATAAAATATTGTGGGTTAAGGATTGAACGTGAAGGAGATTACACAGATGTAGCTTACGCTATGTGTCCGATAGCGGGAGAATGCCTTGTCTGATGATGTGAATAGGTAACGATGAGCCGTTGACTATTGAAATCATGTCATAACCCCTTTAAGAAGCTAAATATGTGATGTTTGTAGCATCCTAAGTGAGATGAGTCGATGCCCCAGAGTCAAGAACCTAATCTTGGGTCAAATTGGGCGATGGCTGGGCTAACATAGCACGTGATTGCCATGAGTTGGTTGGGGCATATTTAAAGTTACAACGATGCCAACAATTTATGGCTACATGGCCATTTTTACCGCAGATTTGGCACGTTGGTCGAGCTGCTGGATTGACGAGGGGATGAGGAGGTAAGGAAGCAGTGGGAACGGACAACGTAGAGTTGTTCTTGTTTTTAAAGAACCTTTTTTGGTTGCGTCCTCGAGAAGAATTGGGGGCAGAGTAGAGAGGAAGTGTGTCAGTGGAGGAGATGGTGTCTTTTTGAAGTTCTTATTGAACATGAATTTCCTCGCTGCAAAGAAGTGAGTAAAGGGTATCAAGATCGACGGGAAGGAGCGAGATTTGGATGGCTGTTTTAAAGGAGTTGTAGGTGGATGGGAGACCATTAAGAATATAAAGAAAGACGTCTTCAGGATCCACTGTGGATCCAAAGGAGGCTATAGTGTCTACGATATGCTTGATTTTCACAAGGTATTGCTACATAGAGCAGTCTTTAAGCTGGAAATGGTGTAACTCATTTTTGAGTTGAATAACACTCGAACAACTTAAAGATTGGAGGCGTTTCTCAAGAATTGTCTAGACGTTGTGGGCAGTGGAGGAAGGGAGCATGTAAGGGAGAATTGAAGGGGATATAGTTGAGAAGAGAGCAGAGATTAAGTTCTTGTTAACAAGATGCCAAACCGTGAAGTCAGCATGGGAAGGATCGGTGGGGCAGATGGAGGTACCAGTGAGATGTCTGGCGAACCCGTTGGCCGTGAAATGCTGAAGGGGTTGAAGGCGCCAGATTGCATAGGTGTCGACGGTGAGTTGAGTTGGAATAAGATTCTTGAGATTTGATATCAAGAATTTTAGCAGCGTCGACACTGTGAATTCGACGAAGGAGGAGGAGAGAGAGGAGTTGGGGAGGTGGGAGGTCACCGAGTTTTGGTCTGCCATGGATCGTCTCTGATACCATGAAGAGCCCCTAGCTGGCGGAGATATAGAGAATAACCAAATAGAGAGACAGATGAATGAAGACAGAAATGTGTATTTCATTATCTAGCAGGTGTTTACAGTGGTAGTATAAATCGAAAACGTCATGAATAAAATGTTACAAGGAAACAATATAAGTAAACTAGTTCCACACGTATGGGTTCACTAACAGGGTCGAGCTCAAAAACAAGCTCAAACTCGACTCATCCATCTGTAAACAATTTCGAGCTGCTCGACATGCCTCCGATGGTCTGGTCGCCTTCCGTGAACAACCATCTCCCGAGATCCTCAGATTGCAATATTCCACGAACTCATGACCCCCGAGCCTCCGCTGCTCGGCTGTCTGCGAACTCCAACACATGCCTGTGGTCTGCCTTAAAAAGCGTGCTTGGTTCGTGATGTAATATCAGTTTTTGCTCCAGGTTCGTCCGGACGAAGTCGGATCGTCCGGGACGATCGGTACAGGTTGTGCAGAGAAAATCATGTTTGGCTGTATGGTTCGTCTGGACGAAATCAGGATCGTCTGGACGAAAATAAGTCAGAGAACCCTTCGCCGGGGACGATATTCAATTTTCGTCTGGACGAAATAATTCCTCTTCATGGATCGTCTGGTACGAAGCTCGATCGTCCAGGACGATCAGTCTGGATATATATAGAAATGAGATATTTTGAAGAGAGAGAAAAAGTTGAGGAGAGAGAAAAACGAAGGAAAAAGTGGAAAAGTGGATTTTCGGACGACGCGGAGCAGTTTTCGCCCGAAGTGGCTGTTGAGGAAATTGCTGTGCTCGAGGTAAGGCACATTCCGCCTTTCTCAATTTTCAGAACCGTCGTGTTTGGCGGTATATTCTGTCCGGATTTCGTTTTCGTTAATGATTTTTGTCCGTATCTGTTGATTGGCTCAGTTTTTACCGCGTAACTTTCTGTATATTGTTGACGTGCCGAGTGTGCACATTTTGGTTATTTTTTGAAGATTTTTGTCCGGGTATTTTTGATTCGACTGTGTTTTTAGTCGACCAGATTTTTCTGTGAAATTGGAATTTATCTGTGCAGTAGAATAAATGTTCTAAAATGTTGATATCTATATTCTGTGCGAATTTGGTGAATTTTGATTTTCAGGAAAATTGTGTAAATTCTGTATACTGCCGTTGTGCTGCCCGATTTTTGAGTAATTTCTGTTTTGTCCGGAAATCTTCTGAATTGATATGCTATCTGTATATGCTATATAAAGGGAGTTATAAGGGGCCTGGATCCTATGAGATTCAGTTAGTGTCTGGGAATTCTGAAATGAGCTCAATATGAAATCTGATATCTGTTCTGTTCCGGATCCGAGGAAACAATCTGTTTAGGTGCTATATGCACTATATATGTATTCTGGTGCTATAAGCACATCTGATCTGATCTGTTTTGGTGCCGTGAGCACAAAGGGAGGCATAAGTGGCCTGGATCCTATGAGATTCAGTCAGTGTCAGGGAATTTAGCTATTAATTAAATATCTGATATCTGCTACATGATTCTGATATGATTTGTTCTGTTCCGATATGATCTGTACGATTCTGATTCTGTTGATCTGATATGTCTGATCTGTTATGTTTCTGATTTGATACAACTTCCATTTCCGTACAGTTTTGTTGATTTGATATCTGTCCGAATCTGTTTCGATTCTGTACGGATTTGTCTGCTGTGTTGGTTTTGAGATTCTGAGGATTTTGATTGGAGGTTTGTTGCTTTACTGAGCTGTTGAGCTCACCCTTGCTTTCTGGTGGTTTTCAGGTTCGGGGAAAGGCAAGGAAGTCCAGGATTAGTTCAGAGTCTGATCAGTATAGGTACTTTTGTACTTTTGATTTTGTACAGTCATGGCTTTTCTGTTCTGTCTTTCTTTCTGTCGAAAGCCATGTACTGTTCTGTAGATGATTGTTTTGAGGAAATGAAATCGGATAGATGTTTTGTTCCGCTGCATTTGATGATACATAGTAGCTCTGTGTTTGTTAGTCTGTGTGAATTAATTATTTGGAAGATTCAGTTCCGAACCAAATTCCAAAGCTAGATCCTGGTTAGTGCAGCTCCGTCGCGATCCAGCACGGGCGGGATCCGTCTCGTCTCGGGTCGGGTCGTGACAAGCTTTTTTGGTATCAGAGCAATGGTTTTGGAATTTGAGAATTTTGTGAAACAGAGCTATAGGAAGTGATCAGTAAGTCTGTCTGGGGGGTAATTTTGATTTGTTTGGCTTTTTATTTTTGTTGTTTTTGTGATAGTTTTTCCGGATTTTCTGGATTTTTCTGTATGGATCAGCCAGACCCAGACATGACAGATGGTCAGAGTGCCGATCAGGCAGCACCAGTGGGGAGTACAGCCCCAGTGGTCGGTGCTGATACGCTTTCTCAGTTTGCTTCGCTGGTTGCTCAGATGATGAGCGAGACTCAGAGTAGAGCTTCTACTGTCAGATCTGATGACCTGGATAGACATTTGCAGTTGTTTTTGAGGTTGAAACCTCCGAGGTTTGAGGGCGCTGTTGAGCCCAGAGCTGCTGAAGAGTGGCTGAGGAGAGTGGAGAAGACCTTTGACGGGATGCAGTGTCCGTCAGACAGGAAGGTACCGTTAGCAGTTTTTCTGTTAGACGGAGAGGCTGAGCACTGGTGGGACGGCCAGCAGGCAGCCAGATTTCAGGGCAGACTGAACTCTTTGATTACTTGGGAAGAGTTCACTGAGGTATTCCGAGATTGGTTTGTTCCCCCTTCTGCACGACAGCAGATGCAGGAGAACTTTCTGAGGCTTGTTCAGGGGAGCAAGACGGTGATGCAGTACGAGGCTGAGTTTACTGCATTAGCCAGGTACGCTCCGCAGCTGGTTAGCACTTCTGCTGAGAGATGTTACAGATTTCTGAGGGGATTGCGAGATACCTTGAGGCAGCCCCTGATACCATTCCGGATTACTGATTTCTCCGAGCTTGTGGAGCGAGCTCGATTGATAGAGAACGACTTGATGGCTACTCAGCAGCGGTGGACTGCGAGTAGGAAGAGGTTTGGAGGCGAGGCATCTGGCAGTGGTTCCTCCGGAAAGAGGAGATTTGTTTCCGGTTCTGGATCTGGAGATTCCAGAAGGAGCGGAGGATCGTCTGGTACTGTTACCAGTACGACGAGTTCGGGATCAGTCAGTTCGGCACCTGTGTGCCAGAACTGTGGACGGCGACACTTCGGCCAATGTTATAGGATGGCTGGTCTGTGCTTCCGATGTGGTCAGTCAGGACATCGGATTGCAGAGTGTCCGCAGATGGGATTTGATCAGCGATCTGAGGGCTTTGTCAGACCTGCCGGTTCAGCAGGAAGACCGAGGACTGTTCCTCCTCGCCCTGAGGGATTTGCTGGAAGAGGTGGTGGTTCTAGTTCTGCACCACGGAGACCACCTACTGTTCAGAGGGAGCAGAGTAGTTCCGTTGCTTCAGCTCCTGTTCCAGTTCAGCCACGAGTTTACAGCTTGAGTCAGCAGGAGGCTCGAGATGCTCCCGATGTTGTGACAGGTACGATTTACATTTCTGATCAGCCCTGTCGTGTTTTGTTTGACTCTGGAGCGAGTCATTCTTTTCTGTCCGAGCACTGTTTTGAGGCTTTACGTTTGGATTCTCTTTTACTTCCGGTTTCTTTGTCTGTGATTTTACCGGCTGGGAATCCTTTGATTGCTCGGCAATTTTGTTTGTGTGAGATCGAGATTGCTGGCAAGAAGTGGAAATCAAGTTTGATTCGGTTGCCGATTTCATCGTATGATGTAATTCTGGGCATGGATTGGTTGAGTCAGTATGAAGCTATATATATATATATAGTAAAAAATAGTTTAATTATTGTAAACTGAAATCTCAAAAACAAAGGGGCGCTGATCGGCGATTGAGAACGGTGGTAGGTTAGGGATACGGCGGAGCTCTGGACGCTGATCTGCAAGTCTAATATCTTTGCTCTTGTCAACAATGGTGGTTTTTTTTCTTCCGGCAGCCGCCATCCCTCCGGTCATTCAGACCGCTGACGGAATCAGCGGAAGCCATCGCCCTTACCTGTTTCAGAAGAGCTCTAATAAATCTCCACAAATCATCAGACATGCTCTCTCCCCTCCTCCGCTCTTGCTCCTATTCTGCAGGCGCCGTCGTCGCCGGGGGCTAGCTCCTCCTTCTAGGGTGGTGTATTCTCAGTCATCCTCTAATGTGAATGGATTTACCACCAGTCGGATTCCGAATCAGGTTACTGATTCCTCTATTGAGGGGGTTCGCGAGAGGCTGCGAGCTTGGCGACAGTTCTTGCCAGGCGGTAGCTGGTGGTTGCTCCAAGGAAACGAATATGTGGAGGAGGGAAAAGGGCGATGGAGTAAGAATGTAACTGTAGCGCAGGCTTTAAAGCGGATGTGGTTTCTGGTGTCGGGCGGCAGACGTGTGATCTTTTTGGCGTTTGCATCTCTCTTCATTGCGTCCGTATGTACTTCTTTCATTGGGGCTTTTTCCTGGTTATGATAAATGAAGATTCTTTTTATATTTTTAGGCAGTTAAGTAAATTTTTTTTCATCATCTCTATAAAATGGATAGTTGGAGTTTAGAAGGTTGGCGCGTAGACTTTCTGTTTGGCTACAAATGGGATTTAATTTAATTGGGATTTAGTAAATCTTGCAAATTTTGATTTACTAGATTCTAGAAGCGTGAAATGCTTAAAATTATTTCGCATGATGTATGCTAAATTTGGTTAAATCGAGGTAAACTATTTGACAATTACTTCTAAAATTTAGGATTTAAATGAAGAACAAGAATATGTATGTTGAAGAATGGTGGTGCAAATCTTTTAAATCCTATTTTCACAGGATTTACTAAATCCCATATTTAGCCTGGAATAGGAGGACAACTTGAATTAAAAAGGAAATGTGATTTAGATGGTTCAAAAAGTTTTTTAGCAAGATTTAGCCTAAATCTTAGCAAGCTCTTCATTAAATCTTGTAGCCAAATAACCCTTTAGGCCTGCAAAATGCTTGATGAAATGTGCAGATTGAAGGACATTTGTTCTACTTCGAAGCATATGGCAAGAAAAGTAAGAAGTGTCATAGAGTAATGAAGCCGCATAAGTAGAATTTAGTAAATCCCATAAATTCGGATTTAGTAATCCTATTGATTTTTTATCCTGAATGTTTTTTTGCATAATTAATATTATAAAATTTGATAAACTATTTGAATTTTATTTTTAGGATTTAAGATGTAAATTAAATCAATGATGTGATTTGATTCACAGAAGTTAATTAATATGTAATTTAGATGTTAATCATAATTGTTGAATATTTTATTGTAAAGCTAATTAGGATTAAATAAAGGAAGTGAAGGAGTAGGAGATGTAGTTCTATGCCCTACTAGTTGAAAGCGAGCAAAGAGAAAATGAAAAAAAAAAAAATCACTTCAAGATTTGCTAAATCTCTGTTTTCGCAGAATTTGAGAAATCTTAGATTTAGTAAATAACAACAACAACACGCCTTTATCCCACCACATGGGGTCGGCTACATGAATCCTTTTTCTCCATTTTGTCTGGTTAAGAGTTAAATTATTATTTAGATCTAATAAAGAAATGTCATTTTTAATATTTTATAATCATGTCTTTTTAGTTCTACCTCTACATTTCTTAACATAGGTTAAATATAATACATCTACTCTCCTAATCGGGTCATCGAAAGGCCAACGTTTTATGTGACCAAATCATCTAAGGTGGCTCTCTCTTATCTTATTTGCCACCGGAGCTACTCCAACCTTTTCACGTATATGCTCATTTCGTATCCTGTCGCTAAGAGTAAAGCCACTCATCCACCTAAGCATCCTCAGCTCCGCAACACTTAATATTATGCTGCTCTTTTAATGGCCAACATTCTGCGCCATAAAGCATTGCAGGTCTAACTACCATCTTATAGAATTTTTCCTTAAGTTTGAGTGATACTTTTCTATCGCACAATAAACTCGATGCATTCTTCCACTTCATCCATCCAACTTGAATTCTACTAATAATATCACCATCCATTTCACCATCATTCTGAATAATAGACCCAAGATATCTAAAACATGTATTCTTATTAATGACTTGATTGCTCAAGTCACAAACCCCCCATTAGATCTATTACTACTAAAATTACACTCCGTGTATTTGGCTTTAGATTTACTTAAATGAAAATCTTTTGACTCTAAGGTTGACATCCATAATTCAAGTTTACCATTTTTTGTAGTAAATAGTAGAGAGATAATAAAATTATAAGGTCTGTAGGATCTAATGAGCCAAAAAAAGCATTTCAGAAGAATCCTAGCCTTGTCACATAAAAAGGCAGCCTTCCGATGACCCGGTTAGGAGAGTAGAGGTATTAGATTTGACTTGTGTTAAGAAAGGTAAGGGTAGGCCTAAAAAGACTTGGTTAGAAAATATTAGGAATGACCTTTCTTTATTAGATTTAAACGAGAATTTGACTTTTAATAGGACACAATGGAGAAAAAGGATTCATGTAGCCGACCCCACGTAGTGGGATAAAGGCTTGATGTTGTTGTTGTTGTAGAAGAATCCTAGCCTCATTCTTTGATTAAGAACTTCCATGGAAAGCTTACATGTTAATTCTTTATTCATAAGGAACTAACATCCATTGTATTCTTTGCTTACAAAAAAGGTTAATATTTATAACAAAGTCAGACCATTCAAATGGTAAGCATAGTCTTAATAAATCTTTGAGGAATTTAAAATTTTGAAGAATTTTGAGTCAAATTGGTTGTACTGTATCTTTATTGAGAGTGCCGACTACAAACCCATTATAAGTTACATTCAAAGTTCAATTTGCCATAATTTTTAATCCCGAGATAAGGACTACTTGGGTCTCAAATCCTATCGTGAAGGTATAATGCAATGAACATACCTTACATACAACATAGTGGATCCGACATACCATATGCAACTTTCTTTCAACATAAGGCACATTGCAATGTACCAAACATTTTAGGGGATCATGCAATATGTTCAATTAATGCTAGGCTCTTTATGTTGCATGCTAGTTGCAATGACCTTTTTACTGGCATGAGTTTGAGTATTCTGTTCTAAGAGGAAGTTCTACACACCAGTAAATTGCTGTCTTATTTATTATTTATTTTCTATGCTAATTCTTCATTCAAATTGCAGCTCTCAGAAATAGCAATACCGCACTTCCTGACAGCGTCTATTTTTTCTGCACAAAGTGGCAAAAGCATGATGTTCTACAAGAATGCAAAGATCCTACTTTCATTGTGTTTGGTATCTGGAATATGCAGGTTAACGTTTTCAACGATTTTCTTGTTCTACCGCCCCTCCTTGTTTTTTCCAAATTTTTATAAAATCATCCGGAAGTATGATGTTTGATTCACTACAAGTTTATTTCACATATTTTCTTATTGTTAAGGTTTCATGCAAATATTATCTGGCTATGTTTGTTTGTAGGATGTACTTCGCAACATATGATATGTTGTCAGCATCCATGCTTGTAAGACTGTTATTATCATGTTGCTGAGACCAGAAATTTTACACCATTTATGATGCAGGACATAAATGCAAAAATGATATTTGATATAGGATCCTGGCACGCTTAAATTTTAGAGACAATAGTAAATAAACTTATATTGATATTAAGCGATAAGACAAAATAATAAGGCAATAAAACAAGCTTAGGCCAAATCACATGTGTAAAGGTTAAGATCCTAAAATAGTCAATTACTCAAAATGTGCATACATGGAAGGTTTTCATAAAAAATCCCTATGCTAACAATAAGACTAGTCACTATACAAGAATCCCTCATTCAACTCTCTAGATCACTAAGCTTTAGCAAAGGAGAACAAAGATGATCGTTGTGAATTAAAATATAGCCACAATTGAAAATAGACTAGGAAGATAGGAAACTTGGGGAAGAGTTCACCATCGTCAAGTTTTTAAGTATGATTTGCAATGCCAGGAAGAAGTTCCGGAGGTTGGTGGCTGATCTTGAAGTAGTCCCGTGAGTGGACAGCCGTGTGGGGATCTTCTGGGCAGCGAATGGGAGTCTTCCGGTTGGCGAAACGACACTAGAAACCTGCTGGAATCTCTGGACAGCAGCTCTGAACTTTCAGGACAGCAAACAGGAGGTGTCTGGAGAGCAGAACAGCAGTTTGTCTTGCCGAAATTTCCTGGACAGAGGCTGTGAACATGCAGGACAGCAAACATGAGGTTCCTGGAGAGCACGACAGTAGTTTTTCTTGCTGAAATATCTTGGACAGCACCCAGGAATTTCAGAAACTGGGTGAAAACTGTGTGGGAGGGTTTGGGTGGAGGTGGCTTGGGCTGAAGGGATTGGGGGAAAAGAGTTTTGGGTTGTATAGTGGAGTAGATGATTTAGAGGCGAGAGAGGGAAGGGGCCGACCTAGGGAGAGAGGGGAATTGTGTCCGCATTCATTGAGGGGAAAGATGTCCACATTTCAATGAATGAGGATCTTGGCATTAATTCTAATTGGGACTTAAATCTGAGATTTAATCTCAGCTTTTGGGTTTATTTCCTAAAGGGATTAGGCTTAAATAGGAAGCCTTTGAAATTCAAATTATTTTGAAATATGATTCAAAGTCTTTCCTAGAACACAAAGGCCAAATATGGAAGGGGTTTACTGTGGAGGGAGAGAGAAATAGAGAGAAGGGGGCCGGTGGCATCATGATGGGGTTGGGGAATTTTGAGAAAGAAATTTAAGACTAGTTCAATTGGGAATCCCAAATTAAGGAGGAATTAATCCAAATCCCATCCAAAATTAATTTGGATTTGATTTAGGAACTTTCATAAAATAGAGCTCTATTTTAGGAAATATTTCAAAATTCAAACTTGATTTGAATAATTGAAAATAAAAACTTTCCCAAAAGAGACTAAGTAAGAAAGGAAAGTATTGATGAGGGATTTGAAAATTTGGAGGCATGGGGAAGGGGCTAGGGCCGGCGGCTAGGCTAGGGTTTGCGTAAGGGGTTGGCGGCTAGGGTTGGGAGGATGTTGGTTGGTTGGATGATGGTGCTAGGCCGGCGGCTATGGCCTATGGGGGAAAGGTGGGGTGAGGGAGCGGTGGTTTGGTGGTGGAGGGCTTAGGATGGCCTGCGGCTAGAGGGTGATTTAGGGTGGTCGACAGCTAGGACAAAAGGGGAAGAAGAGAAGGAAAAGATAAGGAAGAAAAGAGCCACGAACCCGGACGCTTCCAATGTTGGTGGGTGATCTGATTCCCTCTCCTAGGGATTTCTCTCCAAGCTCTCAAGCTCTCACACAAAAATCAAGGGTGCAAGAATTTTCATGTAATTCATTCATTCATTCAAAAGAAACATACGTGGCTTATATATAGCCTCCTACAATGAAAGGAAATAAAAGACGGCATTGCTCTTAGGGCGTACATATGATAAAACCCTTAAGTAAGGGAAAAACGGGAAATGCTACTAAAACAAATATATAAAGCAAATAAATAAAACATATACATATGAAGACTCAGAAATAGATCGGCGTAGTTGTGGCCGTCGATCGTCGGCCATGTCTCAGAAAGACTTTTCATGATCTGATGTCCACATCAATTTCTTTCTTGTTGATTTCATTTTCCCTGATATAGCAATTAACTGTTTATTTTTGTCTCTTTTTTTTTTTTTCCTTTTTTTATTTTATGTTCAGAAGCTTCATTCTTCAATAAAAAAATAAATAAATAATTACTACACTTCATTACTCCAACAAAACTCCTGACCTTATTAATAGCTCGTAACGGCATTCTTAATGTTGATTTTCATCACTCAAGTTTTTCACATCATCAGAAGTTATTAGATGTGGTGAAACTGAAAAATCTTACAGTATCTTTTGCATAATGAAAAATTGTTAGCTGCTATGTATTCCTCGCGAACACCTTTTTAAAGCGTTTTTTGTACTTTATTACTGGCCTGCAAGCATTATCCGCAAATGCTGATTGTACTTTTGAAGAAATAGTGGGAAAATGTTTCTGACTACTAATTTTTTCATTGTATTCAGTGGATTGCGGAGTTGCTGCTTTGGCATTGCAAATATGATATTGGTAAAATATTGATAGATTTGTACTCATTTATTTCATTTTAGCTCTGGGTTTTTGCATTATAGGGCGCAATGAACTTGACTTTCTGAGTTGGTGCAGGTTAAACGTATGAGAGAAGTGTTATATTCCACTCTACTTTTCCAGGTTCTTGTTGAACCCCGAAGAGCTTTTTATGCTTGTAATGCTGCTTGTTTAATATTTCCTTTAACACAGTACTCTTTTTTTTGGCCACCTTACCAGGAGATGGCCCTCTTTGATGAAGAAACAGTTGGGGATTTAACGAGTAGACTTGGTTCAGACTGTCAACAAGTATCTCGTGTCATTGGAAATGATCTTAACTTGATTTGTCGAAATGTGGTTCAGGTGACATATATGATATGAATAGCGTTTTACAGTTTTTGACAGCTATAGGATGCCATTATCTATTCTGAGCTTGATACAGGGCACTGGTGCATTGATTGCTCTTTTTATAATATCTTGGCCTCTTGCACTATCTATGGTGCTTATCTGCGCTTCTTTGGCAACTGTGCTGTTCTTTTATGGACGGTAAGTGTATTTTTTGGCCAAAGAAGTGACCTTTATCAAAATCCTTCTTTCCATGTAGATATTTAATTTCAAACAATGGGCAAGGAAATTTATCTACTTTTAATTTTTGGATTATTATGGTTTATTGCATATATAGGTATTATATTCCACTTCACTATAAAATATAAATGATCACGCATTCTTTTTTTGCAATTTTTCTTATATTTTATTTTATTTGCGAGCCTACAACTTGAAGCTGTGTTGCATTGATATAAGTTCTCCCTGAGGTTTGGTTCAGTTGTTTGAAAAGTCGATTGAACAGTTACTATTGGAAAATTATGAGTAAACTTGTTGCTCAATAGTTGATTTTTGGCTTGGTAAACCAATGATTGAATTGCTGTTTGACTTATGAGTACCACTATTTGAGCTCGAGGATATGCTATTCAAAAGGAGGTACTTAAGATTATGGTGAGGTTTTTAGGGAAGACAGAGAGTAGAAAGCAGAGGGATTGATGAGCTATGAGGTAAACTTCACGTGGAGCATAAGGGTTCGGGTATCTTGGCAGAGGCCAGTAGGTTCTGGGATTGGGCTGGAACACTTAAGGTATGGGGTGGAAAAAGGACGTTGGCGGTGGTGAGTTTTGTTCTTTTGAGCAGAGACAGTGGCGGCTTTTGGGCAAAGAAGCAGGAGATAAGACAAATAGGGGGAAGATAAGACAAATAAGCAGGAGATAACCTATTGCTTAGATTCTTCATGAAAGAGAATCAGAAGCCCGCAAGAAAGACTGGTTGTTGCAAGGAAAAATTAGAGGCTTCTAGATGAGGTATTTGGAAAGGGAAAAAGTTGTTTACCAATGACAGAATATGATCTTCACTTAAATTTCAAACGATACATATATATGTGATCACAAATATGTTAATGTCTCTAGCCTTGGGCCCCTGGCTAGAGCTGGATAACTTGCTTCATAGAATTGACCACACAAATATTGTGCTTTGATCTTCCTGACAATTTTTTATAATGATTTTGAATTTTTTGTTGCTGCATTATCAAGGTCAATGGCTTCAGAACTCATACTTATCCATGAAACATGTGTTAGCTTAAACTGAATCTTAAATTAATGTATTCATAATTAGATCTTAATTAGAAGCATCCAAAAAATATATGATAAAATTGATAGAAAATAGCCGCCAAAAATCAAGAAAAACACTTGAAATTCAATAATAGAAGAAGAGAAACAACCTGATACAAGGAATCTTCAATTTGAGAGGAAGATTTAGCTCTCCAAATCTCTAGCCAACGTCTAGAGCCCAAAACCAAAGCAAAGATCCCAAATTTCAGATTCTAATTCGAGATAATCCTAACCCTAGCAAGATAAGACTAATTAAAGCAAAATGATAAAAGTTTAATTCCTAAACAACCCCTAATTTGAAATTTTCCTCAAACACAAAGCTTAATTATTGTGTGGGCCCCATCTACTTAGCCTCCCCCCTCTCTCCTTGGTTCCGCCCCCCTTGGGCCCGCCTCCTGTAGACCAGAAGCGGTCCAATAAGGACCGGTTCAGTTGGTTCAGCTGGCCCCCTTTAGGAGTATCAGTGCATCATAGCATCAACAAAATACTTGAGCCACATCAAACATTAAAATGGCTAAGTTGCACCCAATCAATTAACAAATTATGGAACCAAATTAAACCCTAAAAAGTAGTAGAATACCTTTTTGAGTTTATCTTGCTTGTTAAAAAAAAAGAAAAGAGTTTATCTTGCTTTTTGAACTATAATGCTCAATATAGCTGAACTGTGAACCGTAAGTCCGTAACCTTTCACCTCTTACTTGACAACTGGAAGGAAGATAGCCCTTCAAAATGCATGAAAATAAAAAGGGACTGACGTTTTTCTGCCTGAGAAAATGAAGAAGGCACGAAAACAAACCTTCAATGTTCCTTCACCTCTCCTGCCTTCAAAAATAAAATCCTTCGACGAAGATGCAAGATCCTTCGGCCTCGTTGGTCATGTCTGTAGGCTCTTCCGTCTCGCCTACTCGCATTTTTCTCAAGAAGATGAAGCAGACGACGAAGAGTCGAAGACAAAACATAAGACAAAAGATGCATGCTCCTTCAGCCTTCCCTGCTTGTGTATCACCCTCCTTTGGCATCGGCTGCTAGCGTAAATGAAAATACGGAAAGCCCTAGCTCCCTGCTCACGTAAACGAAATACTGGAATACAATGCAGGCTGCGCGCTTTATTTAACTTAATTATTTTTCATTATTTAATAGGATGCACGTGTCCGATACGTATATCCTTTTTAATTTAAATATTATTGTAGTGAGATACGTTTTTGCCGTATCGGACACGTATCCGAGCCATATCGGGTTCGTATCCGTTTTCGAGACATGTCAGATACAACACGCCTTCATAAATGGGAGTATCAGTGCATCATAGCATTTGCCTTTTCTTGTTCATTGGATGCTCCATTGTTAAATGCTATTTATTTTTCTGTTTTTAAAGACGTCTAATCGTGGAAATGGCCAGCATCCTGACCTAGTGTACAAACTGATATTATATATATATATATATTAATTGCATTGCCTTCCTTTTGAAAGTATCAACTTTTAGAAATAAGAGAAGATGACCGGCCTCATTTTCACTAAGCAGCTTTATTTTCATCAATAGTAATGCCCATTTTATTTTGTCCCAACAAAGCCTATTGTGTATTTAATTAATCACGCTGTAAAACTAATTTCTTACTTTGACTAGGACATTTGAAGTTTAATCCAATAATATGGGTTTCTTTTCTTGTAAAAATAGGTTCCAGAAATGGGTAGCAAAATTAACTCAAGACTTCGCTGCTCGTGCAAATGAAGTAAGACATTTTGTTCCAGAGAGTTATATTAGTAACATATGAGACTAGCATACTGCTTAGCTCACCGATTATCTGCTTAATATTTTCAGGTTTCCCAAGAAACTTTCTCTCTTATCAGGACAGTCAGAATATATGGGACTGAAAAACAAGAAATTGAAAGGCAATTTGTACTACGTGTTATGAGTCTCTAACTACACAACCCATCTATTTGCTTGTAGTAGAACCTACCTGGTTGGGTTTATGATATTTCTTGCATTTGTACAAACAGATACAGGACATGGCTCGAGAGATTGTGGGATGTAAGCTTGCGACAAAGCGTGGGATATGGATTTTGGAGTTTAACCTACAATTACTTCTACCATTCTACCAAGGTTTTGTTGTTCATTCGATTATTTTTGTTATTTGAATTTGTCTCCTTAAGTAAACACAAACAGTGGTTCGCATGTAGCTCCGTCATAATTTGTTTTGATGAACATCATCCCTCAAATGCATAAGTTTTTCTGTATTTTTCATTCTTACGTGTCTTAAGCACTAAGTATTAGCCATCTAGATGGGATACCATCATGTTCTTAAACCAATAAATTTAATGTAGAAAATAACATGATGAAAAAAAATTATAAAATTATATGGTTTAGATTGAATGCATGGTGTTGGATGACTTTTGCTCTCCCACACTCACTTCACATTGAACCCGTATCCCTCTCGCCATCTCCCCTTCACTTCTACCCATTCATGAAACCCTCGTGGACAGGCAACAAGGAAGTCCCATGTCACTAGGAGTAGGCATTGACGGGGTCAGCCATATGTGAAGGATTAGAGGAGTTTGCAAGACTTGCTTGTTATTCACATAGTTATGTAGGCAAGCCGTTCCCCTATGCTACTGTCCGTTCCCCTCCCTTTGCACGGTTTTCCTACTGCGCGTTGGTTTGGTTTTCCCCTATCATGTTGTCTAATCCCCTCCCTTTTCACGGTTTTGGTGGTTGTTGGTTTTTTCCTAGGCAGATTTTGGCGACTGTTGGTTTTCTGCTGGTTTCCTAGGCAGAATTTAGTTCTCTGTTTACTTTTCTGACAGTTTGGTTCCCCATGCTGTCCATTCCCCTCCCTTAGCTATTTTCTATGATATGTTGGCTCTTATTGGATGCTTGGGGGGCGACATTTTTAAGAGGCTGTTGGGTTTTTTATTTTCCTATACATGGGGGTTGTTTGCTGTAGTTAAAAAAGATGGAGTAGTGATGATTTTTTGGAGAACGAAACCTGCGGCTTTGTAATAGCTAGCGAGCTATTGTCTTCTTCCTCTCTTTTTCTACTATTTCGTCTCGGTCTTCTATCCCCTTCTTCTCTATCCACGGTTCCCTCCCCATCTGTATCCTTCTTCTCTAAGCTTTATTGAAAGTAAGTTGGTTGTGTTGTTTACAAGTTGAAAGTAGTGATGTGTTTTTGTATTTGAAGTTGTGTCTTTTTTATTGAAGTTGTTTTGTGTATGTTTAAGCTTTAGTGAAAGGAAATCTTAGTAGTCTGCAATCTTTGTTTTTTTAGTTGCATCATTTTAGTACTAGAGAGAGGTTGTTTTTTGGTTGCATCACATAGCTACTGATGATGCAGTTCTCCCCTTGAAACACAGAGCCATCGATCCTATCATTTCCTCTACACACGATAGGAATTTAAGCCATGTTCTCCTTCTTTCAACCTTACAGATAGTCCAAACACTGCCAACAATGACCTTAGACTCCCCCAACCATGGCTTCATTTGTGGCTTCTCCATTGGTCGATCCTCCCAATTAAATTTAGGTGACCTCCAACTCTAGTGACTCCGTCATCTTTGCTGACTAACCAATCCAATGGCAATCTCCTTGATTCTCTTACTGTCAGGCTCATCAACTTCGTTAACCTGCCTCTCATCATCAAGCTTACCACCTCTGCACCTTCTTCGCCAACCAACTCCAACTTTGGTGTTAACAAAATTCAATCTTGACGACTTCTTTGTTCCATTGTTCAACACCATCAACAATTCCCAAACCTTGTCAACTTCCTCTCTGATATCCCTTTTATCCGTCCATTTCTATTGTGCTCTCTTTTTCGAAAAAAAAAGAAAATAAAAGAAAAGAGAAAAGAAGAAGAAAAGAAGGAAAAAAGAAAAAAAGAGAAAAAAAAAATTTGTGTGTTTCCAATGTTGTGCAAGTTAATTGCTTCGTCACAACATTCGTTGCTACATCCTTGTGTGCAAGGTATAAATTCTAAGCAAGGACACCACAATACATAAGTACTTGTGCACGTTATTCCAATACAACTGAGAAATTCAAGCATAAGTAGTTGTCTGATTATTCCAATGCGGCTGTGAATCATGTTATGTGATTTTCTCATGTAGGTGTATGAAGGCCTATGCACTTTTTTTAAGCATGGTAGGTTTAAAGGCCCATGTTTGCATTTTCTTAGGACATTGATAATTCATGATTTTTATGTGGGGTGGCCAAGCCTAAAATAAGTGTTAAGATTAACTCCAAAGTTAAATATGAAGGATATTTTAGGTATTATAAGAGAATATGAGATTGCATTGCTCTATTTTATCATTTAATAATTTATAGTATATAGCCAGTCTAATACATAATTATGGTGAATAAATAGTTGAAAAAATTATATTTTTTAAAGCAAAACCTAGCATTGCTCTTCTTTACCATATTTTAATAATTTTATAGATTATGTAGTAGATTAAAATTACTAAAATAAATTTCATTTTATATTAAAATATGGTAAAGATGTGCAATGTTAGATTTTTCTTTAAAAATATATTAAATTTTTTACTATTTATTCACCCTTATTATATATTAGATTAACTAGATACTATAATTTATTAAATGATAAAATGGAACAATATAATCTCATATTTCTTTGTAATACCTAAGATACCATTCATATTTAACTTTGAAATTAACTTGAACTCTTATTTTAGGCTATAAAACTAAATTGAATCAATTTCTAATAGTCGAGGGACTAAAATGGGGCAATGCAAAATTCTGGGGTTAAATTGAACATTTATCAATTGTCGGGGGACTATTTTGACTTTTATTCTCAAAATAATCTGTTAATGTTGTTGGGAACCATTTTGATCCTTCATGCATTGCTTTCCATTATTGACAATAGCTGTTCGATAGCAGCAGCTCTCAATAATTTCTAACCTAGACCTTTGTTTATGATTTTTTTTTTTACGTGGTTCATGTCTTAATTTGCAATTTCTATGGAGGGAAGAATAAAAGATCTTTTAGAAGTAGTTTTACTTCATTAATTAAATTTTATATTTCCCCAACATTTCGACATGTCCTTGGTGAGCGAGGTACCCGTAATTTGTACCGTCAATTTTAATTCAGCTTGTAGTTGTGCGTTTTCTCTTTTCCAAATAATCTTCCATGGTTCAGTATTTTAGAATTTTGTGTCGTTTGTCTAAGCCTTCCACAATTATATGTTCTCTTCGAAGTAATTTAATCATTATAAACATTATTTCTGACCTTTGAGTATTAATTTTCTTATGATGAGATAATTATGTTTTATTCCAATTTTATGATGTTCAAATTGTTCCAATTCCATTCAACTGCTTTGTGCTTCCTGCTATTGGAAATTAAACCCAACCTGCACTTAGGTATGTGCACCGTTCTTTGATTATATTTGGAAAGAATTATCGGATTGCAGGTACTCACATCTTAATGTGTATAGGATGACAATGGTTGAACTGCTTCCAAGCTTCTACTGGTTCATAAATGATGCATAAACAAATGAATCACTTATGGTTAGGTTATTTGTGCATACTTTCATTTTGAAATTTTAAGAATAATGAAGTTAATCACAAAAATATGACTTATGAAAACTAACAGAAAATATAATTTGCGCAAGCCCTTAAATAAATGAAATCAATGAGCTAGCTTTATATTGAACAATATGATAGGAAGTACTTGATTTCACAAGTAAATTAAGATGAAATCATGAAATACTTGAGTTCGCAAGCAACCCTAGCAATAATTGATAAAAACAACGAGAAAACACACAAGAACGTGATGAAATCAACCCAAAATCAGTGGATTGTATTAGGGAAATCCAAAGCAAAACAAACACAAAACAAAGACACAATTGATCCTTAATTCGAGAGGAGGATCTTTCTCTCCCAATCTCTAGAAGAAGTTCCAGAGCACAAGACACCAAGAGAAAAACTCCAAAGAATACAGTAATCTTGCATAACCCTAACCCTAAACAAGTCATACTATTAATACATTAATTCCCTAATCAAACATCCCTAATTCAAATTTTCCCTCTCACCCTAGCTGCCCAATCCTCTCTCCTCAAAGTGCTCCTAGTGGGACCCACTAATGTGGGCGGCAAGCTCCAAAGGAGGCGGAACATGTCCGCCTCCTGAAGACTTGAGCAGGCCCAAAGGCCGGCTGGGCCGGTTTCAGGATGAAACGGCCTAACACAATACAGATTATTTAATTTTTTTGTTGGATGACATTATCTAAGAACTGAGGAACATGTAAATACTGATTTTTCTTGCAAAATTTAACATGCTTTAATTATATAAAATCATGCCTTTTGTTATTAATAGTGTATATAATTATTTATCAATTCTTTGTTTGAAAATAACAGGTAGTTGCTGTCTTGATCGGAGGGATTTCAATTTTACGTGGTCATACAACAGCTGAACAGCTTACTAAGTTTATACTGTACGCTGAATGGCTAATTTATTCAGCTTGGTGGATTGGAGACAATTGGTCTTCATTAATGCAATCAGTTGGAGCAAGTGAAAAGGTGTTTCAATTGATGGATCTTTTGCCTAGAAAGAAATTCATATCGGGAGGCACGTGCTTGTTATTATCTCCTATATTAATCCATGATTTTTTTTTTCTAACCGATTCGTTATCCAGTCTAGATAACCACTATTAATCCTTTCTTCTAATTTAAAATAAAGATTATTCTAAAAATAAAATTAGTTCAAACTGAAATAAATCCTAGACTAATTCAAATACTAAAATATCTAATTTTTTTTTTAAATTATTTAGAAGTATTATCTTGTGTTGTATCATTGATGCTATGATTTTATTTTTCTCTATTGGCATCTTTTTGGTGTCTGATCTCTTTAAGTATGATCATACTTCAAACATATATAGTTTTTTTTTTTTTTTTTTTTTTTTTTTTATAGTTTTTTTTTTTTTTTTTTTTTTAATTCTATTGCTGCTCATGTCAGCTCCATTTTCAAAATGGAGACCCTAGCAAGAAGAAATTGACCTTAGCACTAACTAAAAGGGCTTCTAAACACCAATCACTTTAGATGTTAGATATTGTTATGCCTTAAATTTGATCAGAGTTATCATCCATTTTTTCTAAACTATTGTAATAAACCTATATTCAATTGCCTGATTGTATTTGCAGAATTATGAAGTTGCTACGTGCAGCTTTTGTAAGAATCGGTTACTGCGACATTCATTGAAATATATAAGCTTAGAAAAGATCAAATATTTATTTATTTTGTAATTTAGCTTAATTGATTAATGTTTTATTTGCCTTGAATAAATAAGAATCATTTATTGCAAATTACGTTTGTCATTTTAGTGTTTGTTTATCATTATCTTTTACTATTAATCAGGACGTCAGCTGCAAAAGCTAATTGGGCGTATTGAATTTGTTGATGTATCATTTCATTATCCCTCAAGGTTAATGGTATGTTAATCTCTCTTAAAATGTTTTTTTTGGAAACAAAAGAATTCCAGATTTGATTGTATAAGTATCTTTTCTTTTATTGATTCACTTGTTCTTTCCTTTCCCAAAGCCCTAAACCTCAAAAAACATATCACTAGTCAAATTAAGAACCTAACCTCGTGAAAACCCATTTTTGCCTGACTTAGGTTTCATTTGGGACGACTTTTTTACTGCTTCTTAAAGCAGTTTTTTAATAAAAAAAATTAATTTTTTAACTAGAAAGCTGCTTTTAGAAGCAATAAGAAAGACGTCCCAAATGAAACCTTAATTTGATTTCCTTAACCTTAGTCATGTCTGACTTGTTGGCATCCAAATGGTTGGTATTCTGAAATGCCGAAAATTGAGAGTTTTCAGGACAAACTATACACTTATGTTCCAGGCAAGAAGTACACAAAGGAGAATTTTGTGGGGAAGTTTGCAGAAAGGTGTGGGCTCCGAAAATTCGGCCTCGGCCTCCCCGCCGCGCTGATTTTTTGTTCGCTGCTTTTTCTTTTGCGATGGGAGTTTTAACGGAATTAAGTTCCGGGGCAAATTTTGGAAGGCATATGGTTTTGTAGATAAGACACTGCCCAGGAAATTTCACCATCTCACACTTAAAGTCGATGGTGGGGGAATGGATGATGGACCCGATCAAGATCCCATGGTTCCGTCGTCCCGGGCTATCGTGGTCCCTGGTCTACTTAGTAAGAGGAGGTAGTCGACCCAACCTGACAGAAGGATCCTTGTCGGCAGCCATGGGTTGCTTCGTCCAAGGGGACCTTGTAGACCTGGGTAGAATGTTTGTCTAAGGGGACAAATTTGAATCCACCTTAGCTAACAGAGGGCTTTGTGCCTTATTGATTATATCATATTGATTCATATCTCAAGGATTTGATGTCACTAAGGGGCGTATTGGCTCTGGCCATAACCAGTATTTCGTGGTGCCATTTGGCGGCAAAACCACTCGGTTCAGAGGGCTCCGGGTCATCATAACCGTTTATCCTGCGGTACCATTTGGCGGCAAACCGTCGGTTAGAGGACACGTACCACGTCCTTACTGGCATGAGATTATTTGAGAATGGATCCTAGTGATATTTTCGACTAGGCATTTGGCTCTTTGTGAGCTGAAGTAGTTTTTTAATTGTCCACCCCGGCAAACTGTTGCGGAGGGTGGATTGATTTTTCTTTAAGTGATTGATGGATTTATTTCGAATTTTAAATATTTTTGGAATTTTAAGATTTTGTGGTTTTTTTAGATTTTTGAATGGACTTTTAGGAGACATTTGAAAAATGCCCGAAATTAACCCCTCCGGTTGAGATTTACATTCAACACGGCCATCATCGGGGTGTTTTGGGTCATTTTCATTTGTAGCTTGAATCTTGTCGACTCGGCTGAGCTGTTGACCGAGGATCGAGTTTCTCATAGGCTTAGTGCTTTTGTTTGTGAATTTTCTTTGTTAACAGCCTTGAAGGCCTAATATGAATGTATAAATAAATATTTTGGTCAAATTCATGACCGTATATTTATCCCTGTCTACTCCTATTTATCTGTTTAGGAGGATCGGGTTTCGTAGGCTTCATGCCTTTGTTTAGTGAATTATCTTGATTATAAGTCTTGAAGGCCTAATATGAATGTATTAAAACAAATACACCGGTTGCCACAACCGTATATTTGTTTGAGAGTTCGAACCCTGTCGACTTCTATTGATCCGTATAGAAGGATCAGGTTCGAACTTGAATACACTTATTGACCCGCCCAACATCCCTAGGCGTCATGTGTGTACCAATAACATGCTCGTCGGGGCCCATACGGGTGTTTGGAAATTTCATTGATTTGATATACCCCTTTGTTTACCCATGTGTATACAATCTACGGTGCACTTGCAGGGGTAGCTTGAAATAGTTGTAATTGTGTAGGTAATTATCATTTAGATGCACACAACTTTTCATTTGAGATCTTATACACGCCTTCTATCCGCTAATACGTGTTGCGGATCTGGTGGCATATGGTCTTGATGTTATGAGGCATCTCCTCATCTTGATGTTGACTCCCCTTTTTTCATTCACCGGGGAGGGACTTCTAGACTTTGAAATCAGTTATTGCTGCCTTGAAAAGAGTTCTTTTCAGGATCTTCAGTGTAGTAGACTTGTTATTTCCGGTGTTTGCGGGCACCAGAACTGTTTTCTTCTTAAGTATAGGACTAAGAAGAGGCTTGGGAACATCCCTTTCTTTTTGCCAGGGGGTGTCCTCTTTCGTATATAGAATTATCTTTATGCCTGACTTGCTAATGGATCTTGATCACCGTTGTCGTAGGCGATATCTGTGCTTGTGCCCACAGTGGTTCGTTGTACCTACGATGTATCCACTATTGTTATCCACAAGTATTCATTTGCAGGGGACCGCTGTATTCACTACGACCTCCTGGAAATGTTTGTAGAAGGGTCATTTACATCAGTATCGTATCCACCTTTCACCAATCTCAGGTGGTTTGCTGATTGTACTTATTTACAGGGGATGGGTCTTCTATTATCATTTGCAGTGTTGCCCTCTCAGGGGATGGGTCTTCTATTATCATTTGCAGTGTTTCCCTCTCAATCTATAGGCAAACTTGTAAGGACTATTTATAGAAGTCCACTGTATCTATCAGCATTATTTATTATGTATCATATATTCAGGTACTAATGATTGATCCTCATTTGTGGTAACTCATTTTGATAATCATTTGTTATCTGTATGTATTGAGGTATTTATTCATCAATTGCCAACATCACCCTCTCAATCTACAGGGTAGATGTTGTTTGTGTGGCGGGTCTTTGATTGCTACATGTGGGTAGTATTCGTGCACCTTGCAGTTGTCTGTTGTTGCTTACAAGTACAGTGCATTGACTTTATAGAGACTATTGTAGGAGTTTATTACATTCAAGTTATACTTGATGCTGTCCCACTCAAATTCAGTGTTCACAAGCTTCTGCTTTGAGTTCAAATATGTTGTGATTCATTTGAGTTCAGGTTCTATTTCAATGAAGTTCTCATTTGAGTTCAAGTCTTATGAAACCTTGTTCGATTCATGTTAGAGTTCACTTGTATATGATTTCAATTTAGTTAATTTAGCTTTGTTCAATAGTCTCCAATTCGAGCTCAAGTCCCCTGTTGTTCATACAAGTCCTCTGCACATTTAGTTCAAGTTATGTGCACTTCTGTTCAAGTACAAGTCCTCTGTTGTCCTTCGTATTGCTGCTCAAATGATGTCTTCTTGTTTTCAGGTCTTGTGCACTTCAGTGAAAATTTTGGCAGCACCCCGGCATATCCCCCGTTTGGGAGAAATATAGGGGAGCTGGGCCTTCCCATCACGCTACTCGAGCGTGTATGGTAGGTGTCCTTAGACACCGCGGCCGTACAAATTTTCTTCCCACCAAAGTCGAACAGTCAGAAGGAGCCGAAGAAGCGTGCGAACAGAAAGAAAATTACCTTCGCAGTGAGCAGCTCTCTTCGTTGTTTTCGCACGAAATGTCGTAAGTCCTGTTGCGTCTGGAAGGGAAAGCTGTCGGCGGTGCGAAGTCGGGTAGCCACGCGGGAGCAGAAGAAGCGATGCTGGCAATCTCTACACCTCTTGCGAAGTACCGAAGCCGAACAACAACGAAAGGGGAGAAGGAGCGTGCGAGGAAGAGCGGGAATGAGAGGAAGAGGCCGAAGGCTGCTTTTCCTATGCTCTTTAATGACGCGAGGTCGTGCGTCGTGGGAGAAATGTCGCGGACTTGTGTGAGACGTGCGGCGGCAGAGAGTAGGTAAGCATTTTTTTTTTTTTTGTAGCAGGTCTTTTTTTTTTTTTTTTTTTGTAGCAGGTCAACAAAAGGACGTTGAAATTGATAGCCTCTGGTTGAATGGTTAATATGACATTTGAATGGCATTGATTAGTCCATTCTTTTTTTTTATTTTCTTAAATTTTTATAGCAAGCCTGTTTCTAATACTGAATTTTTCTAAGTCTGTTTTGTTAATGATTTTTTCTTCAGCATGATAGTTTTTACAAGTGTTAATATTCATTACATCTTTCAAATCAGAATTAGAAGCTTGTTCATCACAATGGCAAAGAATTTCCAGAAGAAGCTTACTTTGGGTATTACCTGAGCAGATTGCCATTGCAACTTACTGAAAATGTGAAAAAATACCAGGCATTTAAAATAGAAGACATTTTTTATGGGCTAAGGATCATCCCTACTTTTTGACCTGGAAATCAACACCATTGGCAGAGACAGACTCACCCCATTTTGCAAAAACATTCTGGCCTTTTGCCCACGGTTTAGCGAGACTCAGCTTTTTAACCCCATATTATGTAACTTAAATTAAATTAATAAATTTTAAATGGTAGATAGCCCAAAATACCCCTCGTGAATATTCATATGTGATCAATTTAGTCCATAGTACAATATTTCTCCAATTTTATTTCTTGATTATATAATATTAATCCTAAAAATTCTCTCTGGTAGAAATTAATGGAAATTGGGATACAAAATTGATCCCAATTTTGTCTTCTAACTATACAAAATTTATTCCAATTAAGTCTCTTAGAGACTATTTATGATCAATTTTATATTTTCAAGAGATTAAAGGGAAGAAATATGATAATCTATGACTAAATTGACCACATACGAATAGCCAAGAGATTATTTTGGGCCTTTTCTCTATTTTAAATTTTTTATAGATAACTTTCTTATCTATTTAAAGAAAAACATCATGAAAAGATTATTTTCTGATTAATCTAGTAAGAGTCAAGTCTTATCAAAATTGATTCCTCTCCTAAAATCTTGTTGAAAAGCCAAAGCCCTATGACTGACTAACCTTCATCTCCCTCATGTTACCTCGATCTTTAAATCTATGCTTGCATTGCCAGCGGCTCCCTTTTAACACTTGGTTCCCCACACTAACATGCTGATTGACTTTGTCGACTTACTGCTCAACTTATTTTATTATGACATCTAATTTTATTTAATTTTATATGTTTGTGTTAATTATATTTATATGTTTGTTGGTTTGCTAATTTATTATAAAAAGGTTTGCTACTTTATTATAAAAAGGATCATGGGGGTGTAGCAGGGTAAAATAGTTTTTTGTGCTCTCGAGAAAAACTAGGAACTATTCCCTTTACACCTTGTTGGGACCAGAAAAGGTAGTGGAGATGGAGGTGCTGTGTGATACCCTATTTAGATAGGGTATCACATAAAAAGTTCAGAGTGGGTTGTTTGCAACTTCCAAAAGTAACTACATATTTTTCTTTAATTGAAATGTATGATTTGCTCTGTTTCATTGGGATCAGTCCTAGCCGATGAGTTTTACTGAATTCTTTATAGTCTGGACTAAATTGCTCTTAACATATATGTTGGCTATTTTATTCTTTCCTTCTTATTAGTTGCGTCACATTTTTCATCCTATTCTAAGGCTTGGTGTTTATTGATGTTGAACAGTTCCCAGCTGTTGAACATATAGACTTGTCTATACAGCCCAATAAAGTTCTTGCAATTGTAAGTCTTAGTGCAAATTATGCATCAGTGTTTTTAAAGATTATCAACGATTCTTTTATCATGAATCAACCAATATTCTTTTTTTCTATAAATCATTTTTGAGCCGTGGGCTGTGCTTAGGTTGGTCGTAGTGGAAGTGGGAAAAGCACAATTGCCAATCTTCTTCTTCGCCTTTATGAACCAACAAATGGTGCGGTGAGTTTAACTCGGATCACATTCCAAGAGAAAATCATTTATCATTAAGAATAATTTTCATCCATAGCTGATGTTTTAAATTGTTTGTAGATATGCCAGCATATGTTTTATTGCTAACTCCAAATTGTTCCATTTCATATGTTTCATGTATGAAAAAAAAAAATCACTTTGTATTGTAAGATTTTTTTTAAGTTTCACACTAAGGGGATATTTTATTTTAAGCATTTAGAATGAATGATTTTTAAAAATACAGGGTAAAGCAAATACAATATATTTTAATTTCTCAAGTAAAGTGAACCTTGACCTAGGCAAGTCCTAGTTGGACTAGGTGGTTGTTTGGATTTTAATTGGACGTTTGTGGAATTGAAAAAATGAACATCTACATTATCGACATGAATGCAGTTAACATGAAAATAAAGAATTCAAATTGCATAATAATAACAAAAATGAAAAATCAAAAGGCCATGCAATTTGCATGAGAAGAACACAACACAAGCGATTCTTGCACAGGATCTACATGGGATTTGCAATGAACTTGAATGCTTGCCTAAGAGCATGGATATAATTTCCTCACTACCTACATAAACTTCTACATAAACTTCCTCCTATTCATGAGTATTAGAACCACGAACTACAATTGCATCTTGTAATGACCAAGTGAGAGCTTCTGTTTAAAGGAAAAGGAGACCCTTGTAGAGTCTAATCTAAACATGAAATGAAGATTAAATGCAAGCAAATTATAATGTTTTAAACACAAAACAAAGTTCAAAGCGTCTGGATTCGTAATTAGATCCACAATACAAACATGTAAACTAACAGAATGTGATATTTAAAAATTAAAAATGAGACTTCAAGAGCATCTTAATACAAACTTTCCACAAATAATTAAATATAAAGAATTTTAAATATTTAACATTCATCACAAGGCAATCTTCCAATTAATTGTAACACCTCACATGTCATGCAAGCACCACAAAGAGTGTGCTTGCCCTAAAAAATCATGCAAGCACATCAAAAGTACATATATTCACATGTGCTCCGATGAATTTGTTAAACTCATGAATTTAAAGTTTAAAAATGCTTTGCGGATTGAAATTAAACTGAACTCAAATGTCTCACAATCTTAAAAACATGCAACTACTATAAAAGGTGTGATTATTTTTTAGAAAAATGTGCAAGCTCTCGTTCAATCTCAAACTTTTCATCATGTTGCATGATGTTCTCAGGCGGACCATCTTACCTAAAGGGTAGGATTGTTAGGCTTTAAAACGTTCACATCCTAATGATTGGGGTTGACAAAACTTGAATATAAGGAAAGACGGCTACATGATAAGCCAAAAAAGACAAGACATCTTTATTTTTATAGTTGCATAAGGCCTTTCAAAACTTTTGCGAGAAAAGTTCATCTTTTTTTAATGCAAACCTTTCATGCAAATTACTGTCTTGAGCCCAATTCACAGACCTAATTCTCTACATATAAGGGTAAAGTTGGCGAAGTCTATAATGTAATAAATACCAAATGAATTCAAACAACATGCACACTGCGAACTTGATCCTCTGCAAGCAATCAAGCAAAGTTGACTAGGTTAGTCATTCAAATAACCATTCTCTATCGTTATCTAGAGGTGTAATTAATCATATGGGCTTGTACCCATAAAACATATGGAACTAAATCTTAGAGTCATAAAATGAGAATGATATCTTTTAGGTATTGTTATATCTAAAATCTAATCTATCTTTTGAAAATTTGACCTATAATTAAATTTACTTAGAAGAGCCAAACCCGAATTTTTGGAGCTCACAATTTTTTGACCCAATAAAATATTTAAGGACAAAAGAATATTCTCTTCGACCCACTAAATATGTCTATGTTTTCATTTCTTTTGAGAATTCAAATATTTTAAAGTATGTTGATCAAGATGTAACATAAACTCCTTAATTAACATATAATGTCTCCAATATTGGACAACTTGCACTGCAATATAAAATTTCCTATCACTAAAGAATGCAATGCGATGTCCTTAACTCAATACTCTAATTTCTACTTCAAATGCATCCCAAGAAATCTACAACATCTTATTAAAATCAATTAACTTCAATACAAGTGTTTGTGTTTCCTAATTGAAGAGGTCAGATTTATAAGATGATTTGAGGGCTGATTTGGGAGGGAAATAATTAAGGAAATAGGAGGGAATTAAGGAATTTTTTCCTAACAATAAATAGGAATGAAGGGTGCAAATAATTATTAGATAAGGTTTAATCTTCTCATCTTTTCAATCAGAAACAGAACTTAGACTTAATACGGCATGCAAAAAAAAAAAAAAAGGCCAATAAAAAAAAACTCCTCCTGGATGCTTGGTAAATGGCTGGCTGACTATTAAGAGGTATACATACCCACGTGCATTTAATAGTTCGCACACAGTGCAAGTTTAGGACAATTATCATTTTTAGTTTAGCTTATATATACCAAATACTAAAGTTCTTTTATTATCCTTTCAGATATTAGTCGATGGTATCCCTATTGAAGATTTGGATATCAAGTGGCTGAGAGAAAAAATTGGGTTTGTGGGTCAGGTAGCTCATACTCATTTGAACATAATCTCATATTTACTGACACAACTTTTAATTAAACTGACTTTATTTTATTAGGAGCCTCCTCTTTTTCGAATGGATGTAACCTCAAACATTAGGTATGGCTGTACTAGGGAAACCACTCAGGAAGAAGTTGAATGGGCTGCAAAACAAGCTTTCGCTCATGAATTCATACTCTCTCTACCTGACGGATATTCCACCCTCGTTGACAATGCTCTTCTTAGCGGTGGCCAGAAGCAACGCATTGCGATCGCAAGGGCTATTCTTAGAGATCCAACCATCTTGATTCTTGATGAAGCCACTAGTGCCCTTGATGCAGAAAGTGAGCATTATATCAAGGTAGTTCAATGTCAAGGAATTATTTTTATTAAACAGTCTGATTTGGTATAATCATTTGCATATCTACTTCCTGTAGGAGCTCCTTCTATCAGATCGAAATGTCTCTGGAGAAAAGAGAACTGTCATTGTCATTGCGCATAGGTGATATTTACTGCATTCCTTAAGCTTTGAAGTTCTCTGTCTGCTTAGCATGATTATTTTTTTCAGGCTATCAACTATACAAGCTGCTGATACAATTGTGGTTATGGATGTTGGTAGAATTGTTGAGGTAAATGCTATCTCATAAATGAGGTCATTCTTTTAGTTATGGTAATGAATAGCGGGAGGTTGAGTTAAAAAATAATACTGCACTATACGCTAGAACATGCTACTGTCAATCTCGTAGCACAATGCATACTTTAGTTCTGAAATGAGAAAAAAGAGATAATTGGTTGCATAATCATGCAATGCATGGTCTAGAATGAGAATGTATGACAAGTTAATATTTAGTGTTCTTATACCGTAATCCTCTCTAAAAACATAGTCTACAAGATAAGCTTAACAGTTTCTGCAATCTTGAGATCTATTAAAGATGCTCCATGTTTATCTTTGCTATTTATTTTCATAATTTTTCCAAAGAAAAATGCTGCATATTCTATTTAAATTACTAGGTTTCTCAATGAAGAAATTTGAAAATGTTCGAGGCTCAAGAAATGAAGGACATGTTTCTGGACCCTAGATATCACATGTTTAGAGAAAAATTGTGAGATTTATTTTGAGATAAGCTCAATATATTACTAATTGGTTAGAATTGGTACTCCACTTATGTCAAAGAAAATCGAATAGCTGTAAAGCTTGTTATAATCAAATTTGGGTCAAGATAGCTGACCCCAAATTTTTTCCTGTTTAATGATATCTCAAGTGATGTGATAGGTTCTCTAGCACATCCCCAATGGTGATTTTTCTAATGCTATGCTTTGTTTTCTTTTGGTGCAGGTGGGAAATCACAAGCAGCTTCTGCACAAAAATGGATTATACGCAAGTTTAGCTCGAAGGCAGTCAGATGCCTTTGTTTGATTGCTTGATGGCGAACAACTTTTAGGGATTTGACATACTTTTCAGGGGAGTTAAATTACTCGCTTGTAATCAATAAAGCCAGGTCTATTAATCTAAAATAGTAAAATATCTGTTTACTTGTATCTAAATACTTCATTTGAACATGTAGGGGTTGGTAGAATTTTTGTTGCCACCTCTGCTCATCATTTTTCAATCAAAATGCATGATTTGCCCTCCAGATTTATGAGAGCGTGCATATAGCTGGACGAGAGTTTATTGTCCAAATAAATTTCACAAAAGGGTATGTCAAACTTTGTATTTTGTTTGACTATTTTGAAAACCGAAGAAACCAAGATGAGAAATATCTTTATTTGTTTATTTATTTATTTTTCACAGCTTTTATTTAATCCAATTCATCTAAACGGTTTACTTGTTTGCATAGAAGATGGGCCTTTATATTCTATCTTTCTTTTTTTCAGATTAAATTTGTTGGCTGAGAGTCACTCCTTTGTGCTTTTATAGCTCTTTCCCATATAGCATAAATGTTATAATTATGATTTGATTAAATTTTCTTTGAAACCTTTATCATATTCTTTTGATGTAATTATATATTTCCTTTCCCATATTTTATTTTTTTTCCCATATTTTATTGCACAAGACAAGTTTGATTGTCAAAAATTCTTAAAAATTTCTTTTGTTGTTAAATATTTGGGCTCTGGAAAGCTCATTCGGCTTGAAATGAATCTGTGATGCGATTTTTTAACTGATAGATAAAGATTAGATACAATATTATGGAGATTTTTTTTTTTTAAAGAGCATTTTATTTTATTTTTTACTTATGGTTTCTTATGGGCAGAGATTCTGATCATTGGGCGTTATCTTTGATTTGTTGTGTTCATTTGTTTAGAGCTATTGTGTTAAGATGCTGTGTTAAGTGGTTCATTGACATTGCTAAAGCATAATCACTTGATTTGAAGATTTTTGTAATGTTATTACTGAGCTGCATTCATCAACTATGCTTTGAGGCAAAGGATCAGGTATTTTTCAAGCTTTTCTTAGATTTTTTTTTTAATATATTGGATTTTTAGTGTTTTTTTTAATTAGAAAAATAAGGACCATGTGCCTATCTTACTTTATATTATCCTAGTCTTTACATACTCGGAGGAGTTTTAAATTTAGGCTTCATTTTGAATAATATTCTTAATGTTTTGCTTTTCAGGTTGCAGCCACACTTTTTATTTGGTCATTTTTTTTATTGCTTTAAAGCAAATTGTCTGACTCAGGAAGATTAAAATTGATTGGGTCTTGTAAAGGCTGCATAAGGATTGTTCCACCATTTGTACTGACTGCACATTCATAGAGAGGTAGTGGAGATGTTGCAAGGTACCTATTATATCAACAAATTGAAGGTTGCATTCATGCTTAGGAGAAATTATTATGTGGAGACCGGTTGTAGAACGCCGTTCGGAGATAAACTAGAATGCGCCATGTCAGCGATAATGAGTGAAGGGGTGACGTGGCGTATTCTGGTTGGTTCCGGATGGCGTTTGGTGTCCGCACAGAATAATTCATTCATATCATACTTAGGCGCCTCTATTCTCAAAACACGCAAGCAACCACAAAGTAAGGGAATACATACTTCAAAATTTTGCTTAGATGAAGCACCACAAAATCATGATCAAAATATGAGAGAGATCTTATAGCTCCAAATAAAGGAAAACGATGTACCTTTGCGTGTTTGATGAAAATATGCTTTGCATCTTTGTGCATGTTGTTCAATTCATCAAAATCTAGTAGAGAACATATCTCATTTTTAGCTATAAATCAGGCTATATCATGCAATATAAAATCTCCTTGTTTAGAGAGTAGAAAGAATGATCTTCTCTACAACTCTTCAAAAGTATTCAAATGCAAGATCTTCTTCCAATAATCTTTTTCTTCCAGTTAGCTGAATGTAACCGTGAGGTATCCATGTTTGTTCCTCCACTTCATATCTTAGAAATCCTCCAATCGCCTATAAAAAGCCCACATTTTTTATTGATTTGCCTCCCAATTTTTTTTAAAATTCAATTTTTGATCAAGTTCCCAACCACAAAAAGCATGTCTTTGAAAAAATGACCATGATTTCTCTTCATCCAAGCATCCAAGCTCGTGCGGAGGTACCATTTACATGATACGAGTCACCAACTTAGATCGAATTGTTATAATAATCTTTTCCATTCCAATACCACAAAAAAGAGCTCGTAGGGCCTCCCACATATCTAGTCTCTCATTCCAAATGTCATCAAGAACAAAAAGAAATCTTTTCCCAAGTAGAGCCTGGTAGCCATAAATTTAGTTGGAATTAGAAACAAGAGGGCATACCTGGTAGCCATAAATTTCATCATCATCCTCCTCATCCGCTCGTTTTCTCATCAAAGAAGGCTCTGCTTCTGCTACACATCTTCAACATCATAAGCAACTTCCCTAAGCTCACTCAATCAGAGCTGGATGACATTGTCATAAATCTCCCTCTCCTCTTCATCATGAAGAGCCGCCTGAATTCTCTGCAGCATCCTTTCCAACCGGCTCAAATCCTTCATTAATCTATCTTGGAAGAAATTAATACCAGCTGTTGTTGTTCCTGTTGCTATGAAATTTGAAGAGGAAGAAGCTCTTGGCAGCAAAGAATAAGGAGGCATAAACTGAGATAATGAAAGCATAAAATACTTTCTCGTTAAGGCCACTAGTGACTCTAAGCCCATGCCACCTCACGAATCCTCGTGACGCTCTCTCTCTCTCCATCTCATATGCAGCTTCTTGATCTGTTGGTCGAGAATTGTAACTAACAAGTAAAAGATTTTGGGTTTGAAGCCCACATATATGATTCATATGAATTTGTTTTAATTTACCTAAACATTCAAAAAAAAAAAACTTTCTCCGTCTCTTTCTCTCTCAACAATTCTCTCTCTATAACATTAAGTTTTTCTCTCTCCTCTCTCTCTCTCTCTCTCATGTATGGTGCAAACAAAAAAAAATATATATTTTGCCGACACCCAAGTGAACATCTTAGATACACCAGTTACGTGTATTAAATGAGTTAAATGAAAACTAATGAGCACATGTGTATATGTGACAGTGTATATTGACTATTAATTTTAATTTTAAAAATATATTACATAATTAATTTAAGTTAAGTCGTATATTTATTTTAAAATATATTATTTAAATAGTTTAATATGCATAATTATATATAACTTAGTTCCTAAGTGGTTCCAAAACTTTATATATATATATATATATATAGAAAAAAAATTGAAATTAGACTTAAAATTAAATTTTACAAGACTACAACTAGATCGACTATATTATACGAATATAACTATTTGATAATAACGAAGAAAATTATAGTTAAATTTAGTGTGGTAGAAATGAGAATATTAAGATGAATGCATGGCAAAATTAAAATGTTTGAGAAATAATTATTTTTTGGGATAGTGGGACTTGCCATTTTTATGATAAGATAATTGAAAATAGACATAGACTTAATAAGAATGAAGCAAAAATGAGGATTCATAAAGTAGAAGCCAATTACTTGGGATAATTGTAATTGCCATAATAATAATGGTGATTTGGATGATTCCCAATCTTTATTGTTGATATATATATATATATATATGCATATATATATATATATTGAATGCTTTCTTGAATGTTGGAAGCAACGATATTGAGATTGATCTCCACCATTTGAGTTCTTTATGAATTTTGGCTACATGAGTTATTCAGAATTATTTATCTCCATCAAGATTTTAGCCCTAAATGAATTTAATTGTGTGTAATTGGGTGACCCAGGTTGAATTCGGTGAGAATGGTGTCTTTGATCTCTTGATTGCTCTTACTTTTTTGTTGAGGAGAGTGATCAATTTCTAGTTGTGATTCTTTCAATTCTTTGCGGTTTTTCAAATTATTTTTAATGAACACTAATAACCTTATTAATAGCTATTAATTTGTGCTTTTTGTCAATGAATGAGATCGCATTGGAGCAAATTGTCTCTTGCATTAATGGATAAGGTCCAAGGTTTGGCGTGAGTTGTCTCTTCGAGAAATATACCTCGTAGGAACTCCGGATCCATTCCTAAGATTTTTCGTGCTTAAGTGATAATCAATGAAAGTATTTTTCATAGTCTCTCTCTCTCTCTCTCTCTCTCTCTCTCATTTTGGTAAATCCCTAAAAGATAGAATGAGTCCTTGATGACTCTTTGAATGGCGATAATCGTTCGACAAAAAGCATGTTTGATCGAACAAAAATATTAATAGTTCTAAGAAAAAGTGAGTATAACTATGTGCAAGCTAGTCCTGTAAGTGTTATAGGGAGGACCTAGCAAAGGATTGCATTAGAGGCTTGGTGAGTATATATGATAGTCGGATATCGATTAATGTGTTTATGAGGGATAGAATCTCATCTTATGGATCAATTGTAGGCAACTTAAACCCCACATGATAGGTTGCTAAAGACTTATCAATAAAGGGTAAAGATTCTTGAAAGCTATAGTGAGAGATAATTTGGTTGCTTTATCTCAAAGGGAACTTGTTTAGAATAAAGTGTCATAACTTATCTCTTATAATATCACGAAGGGCATTGATTGGTTGAGGAAGGATTAACTAATAGTGTTTGTGAGAACTTGATGAGCTTGTGTTGGAGGAGGAGCTACAACATGATGAATAATTGTCTGAATGGCATCAAATGTATTGGCCTCAAATTGTTGTTGATTTTGTAATGGGAAAACTCTAACTTATTGTAATGATGATCTTTTTTGTTTAGCTTTTCCTAAGAACTATAGTATTTGAACTTAAAATTCATCCATAATACGTATACAATCCTTCAAAGCGAGGCTTGGATGATCTTCTCACCTATATTGTGTTATCCTCGATTGAGGGATTAATTGTCAGTTATTACAAAAATATTTTTAGTATGTTCGGAATGCTTCTCAAGTATGACATTAAACTATTACATAGTAGAAAATTTAATATCTTAAGTTTGTATAAATATCCAGCATGCATATAGATGGACGTTGTAAGATACACAAGAATTTTTCACATGAAAAACTCTAAAAAACGAAAAAACCATTGAGCATGTCCTAGTTGCAATAGTCAACTACATAATTAAAGATATAATATTCCATTTTTCTATTAAAGAAGACATGGCAACAATAGTAGATTGTTGCAAGGATTATAGAAATGCGGTGTTCATAAGTTTATAGTTGAAACCTAATAAATGGATATATGTTAATAGTCAGGAGATAATAGTTGAATGACAACATTCAGGCAATAAAGGTGACCATTGTTATGAGGGTTGTTGGCAGCTATCGCTTGCAAATGCAATAGAGTTCTTTAACTTTGCCTTCACTCAAACCTCCTTTCCATAGAAAACAATGCCATATTTATAGCATTTTGAGAGTGGTATTTTAATAAATTTGGTCAAAATCTAAACACTCCATCGAACAATTTATATTAAACCCTCTTGATCATATATCATTTATCTAATATTTGAGTGTATTAATCATGTCGTAATTTTATGATATTTGGCTCATTAAATTCATCTCGTCGAAACGTTCGCTTTGACTAGAACAACGAGAGATTTGGAAACAATTTTTTCCTAAGCTAATGTTTAAAGTTCTCAACTACGCTTTAATTTTTTGATTTGGATTCTTATTTGATCAAACCATATGTGATGTTGATGAGTTCGTCTTTTCGAAATGTTTATTTCGAGTATAAGCCTGTTGACGGAGCTCACACAATCCTAAACTTAATTCTAGAAGTTTTCTTGAGACTTATCTAGTAAATTCAAATATATGTTTATATATAAACAAGACTAGAGAGCAGGTAAGAAAAAAATATAAAAAAGAAAAACTTTCGAAAAGCTGAAATTATATTTATTTATGTCTGCTACTTAAAAAATCAGTTTGGTTCAAAACAGAATGTAGGAGCTCAACTATAATCACAATATAAGCCTCACCATACTGTGCAAGAAACATAGACAAAGTACTAAACTTCCATAAAAGAAAATTAAAAAAAAAAAAAAAAAAACATAGAAAAACAGAATGAAGAGAAGAAAGCAAAGACAGCTTTTTTCTGTTCATGAACAAATCCTTCATTTTTTTCTTGCAGAGGTTTTCTTTTCAACTTTGTGTATACTTTGCTATGGACAACTTCTTTTATGAATTATGGCTTTCATGAGCTTCAAATCGACTTCTACTGCTCCTCAATATCATCTTCTGAGTCGCTATCACTCTCCTGTTCAGAAAACTCCATAATTTTAGTAATTCTTATAGCCATGAAAATGAAATATTCAGAGCATCAATCAAAATTTACATTTAGCTGCTGATGTCTATTTGCATTTCTGATTATGGTTATCAGTTGTATCATCAGATAGAACGGCAACAAGAAACCTACAGCTCGGAGAAGAATTACCTGAACAAGTAGTTGTGGTTTATGAGAAATCTTTACTTTAATAAGAGAACTCCAAACAGAAATTAGCATATCAATACTCACAAGAGAAAGCCTGGTTGAATAATGATCACTGCCTACAAGTATGACTGCAACTATATGTCTCAGTAAGAACATGATAGTGAACTGTACAAGAAAAGAAAAGGAAAAAGAAAAAGAAAAAATAATCAAACGTACTGGTTAGTTTATGATAAGCAGAGGCTGCATTGTTGAACATTCTGCAATTCAAAATATAGCAGAACTGACCATTAAAACTACAGACTGGAAGCAGGATTTGCTATTGTAGGATGCCGGCGATTGCCCGGCATGCTCCTGTTCATGTCGATTGCTGCTGAGCGCCACCATTGCTGGGTTTTGGATCTCATTGTTGATCCTTGCTGCTTCCAGGCTTCCCCTGTAACAATATACATGTTCAGTTTGCCTCTTCTCCATTTTAATTGTTTCTCTTTTCTTAATGCTCAGAGAGAGAGAGAGAGAGAGAGAGAGAGAGAGATACCTTATTGTTATAACAACTTCAATCATATGAGGAATTGCAGGGGAAGGAGCAGTTACAGTATAGCCTGGTTCAAATTTCTGTAAATTTTATAACAAGTACCATATTAGCAAAGGAGCAGTTACTGAATTTATATTTCAACTTTAGACAATTATTTTCAAAATCCTCAATCAAAACAGAATAATTTACTCGGTAATAAAATCTATATGCAAATAAAAAAAACCTCAAGACAAATTTCACAAACTGTGTTCCCTTTCTCATCACACCATCTCTGTATGCATCCCCTGTGAGCAAACTGGAACAAAGAAGCCTCAGATAAGCAAATTTTAACCAAATCTATGGATAAAATTAACTGAAAATTCTAATTAAAAACAAAAGCAAGGACCTTTTCCACTTCTTGATTGATTACCTTCAGAGTTCCAGAACAAGCACATGGAGATTCCATGCTTGTTGTGCCCTGTTCCTCCTCCTCATGGCATATTCTACAGAGGCAAAGCAAGAAGGAAGAAGAAGAAGAAGAAGCAGTTGCTCTAATTTCCTCACTATTGGCAAATTCCATCTCTCTCTCTACTCTTCTTTTGTCTTGTCTAATTCTCTCTGCTGATCTGAATGTTTAAATGAGGAAGAGAAGAAAGAGATCAAAGGGGAGAAGAACAAAGCTCTGTTGTTCGGTTGTTTGGACAGTTGCGAGACGGTTGGACCTGGTAGAAGCTTTGACTGGTCTGCCAAATGGAGATTTGGTCAGGGAGTTGACCATGTGGTGACCACGTCATCCAAGTACTTGGGCTTGGCAGTTACTACTTTCTTCAATATTATTGACGTGTAACAAATTTTTATTAAAATTTTCATTAAATTTCTAATTATCAGCTAAATCAAATTAATTCAAGAATTATATGAGTTTAAGATTAAAAAATTAGCATAAAATTGTATTAATAAAATTATTTATTTTTGTAAGTGTTTATAAAGTTTTCTAAGAAAATTTAAATTTCATTTGAGACAGTTTTCTTACTATTTTGTAAAATTGTTCTACATAAATTAGCTTTTTAAAACTGTTATAGAAAACAACTTTTTAGTTAAAAAAAATATTGAAAACAGCGAAAAAATAATGGTTACAATCCAAAAGTAAAACAATAAGAAAGTTGTTCCAAACAAAAACTTTGATCATTATCTTCATATAATTATTTTAGATGATTAGATAAATTTTGACAAATATATATGCTTGATAAAATGGGAATCTCATTGAGAAATAAAAAATAATATTAATATGACAATAATAATGGAATCAATAATGTAGAAAATGATAGATATTCTAATAAGATGAAATTATAATAATTTTGCATATTTTTAATATTATAATATTATATACTTGTTGCGTGTTAGAAAATACGCGGCGGTAGAGTTTATGAATTTACGTCCGAGCGTTGCACGTAAGTTTAACACACAAACAGAAAAGAGGAGCGAACACCAAGAGTTTTTACGTGGAAAACCCAAAAATGGGAAAAACCACGGGGCCTCGCCCAGTCGCAAATTTCCACTAGTGTTTTTGTTGATTACAAATTGCGGATTTCGTCCCACAAGCCGGGATAATCCAAATACAACTTGTTTCTTCCACGAACTTCACAAAATCCTGCGAATTCTTTGCGTTTTCTGAAAATCCGGCAGAGTTCCGGCGTCTTCAAGCGGCAGGAAAAACTCCGGCGGCGGTGGTCGAGGAGGTGAGGAATCTCCTATTCCCCTTTCTCCTTCTCCTTCTCTTCTTCCTCTCTCTCTTCACTTGAGCCCCTTGGTGTAGAATGAGGGCTCTATTTATAGTTTTTCTGGAGTGGCACAGCCCGTAAATAGGCGAGAGATCAAGGGCGAATTGGGAGTGATCCGAATGGACGGCCGATATCGAATCCTTCGATCATGCACCGTTCGTTGGACATTTGAAGGCCTTAATGATTTCGGAATTTGATGATCTTGGGCTCGTTGGATTCGTCTCGTCGAGCCGTTCGATTCGAGTATAAGCTCGTCAAAATCGGAGACCGTTTGGTAATTCAAATTGCGGTTTGAACCTCCCAACAGCGCTTCGAACCTTTGATTCGGACTCATTTGGGGCTCGGATTGGGTTGATCTTGGTGTCGTTGGGTTTGTATTTCTGATTCGCTCAGTTTGACTGTAAGCTCGCTGAAATCGGAGTTCATATGCTCCCGAAATTAATTTTTGAAGTTTCCAACTAGGTTTTGCCTCGAGATTCGTGCCCGATCAAGATAATTTTTGCATGACGTATCAATACTCATACATGCCTATGACGGTATTACACAAGTACTATTATATACTCATGTATGCCTATGAAGATAATACACGAGTATCTAGCAAGTTCTTGATGGAGACTCAGCCCGCATATCCCGCGAGCACTCTCCATAAGGAATAAAAGTAGGCCAAGAAGTTGATTGGAGCTTGAACTCGATCAATGTTAGAGAAAAACTGACCGAGTGGAGTTCGAGTTGAACAATCTAACTCATTTAATCCAAACTTTCTAATTTCTTGAAACTAAAACAAAAAAAATGAGAACCTTATCGTATCTCAATCACCTTTCCTCTACTCCATCTCGCTTGCATGACAAATGGAGTATAACCAAATAAATATTGGCCGTCCAAACATCTTATAATTATCAAAGTTTTATTATTTTCATTTTGTTATGATTAAATATCTTTCATATAAAAACAATAAAGCCGGCCATATTACTCTGAAAATCATTATCTGATTTTTTTTTCCAAATAAAATTTTAATAAGATGGATAAAATAATTTCAGCATTTTTCTATAAATTATATGAGTTTATAATTAATATTTTCTTCCAATTTATAATTAATAACTTTATTTGAAATAAATTTCTATTTAAAAAATTAATAAAAATTGAAGCATAAAATATTTTTGAAAAAAAAAATCCATTGTTTCATTGTTCATAAGAATCTTGACAATACCTATTTAGTTGGTGGATTTTTTTTTAGGGTTTAGGATCGTATTGGATATGGTGCCAATTGTCATGCTTGCTTTGTGAAAAATAAACATGACTGCAATAAGGTCTGAATTTTTAGAAAAATCATAAATGTGACCCTCCTTATCATTTCTTTTGCATAGCCATTGCATCTAATGGTGAAAGTGAGTCAAGTCAATTTGAACTCAATCCGTTAATGGGTTCACGAGGTAAACTTATTGAGCAATGAGTTCAAGTTTGGGTTTATGCTCGAGCTTGGCTTGGCTCGGTATTAAGCTTGTCGAGTCGTTTGTTTAAATTAAATATTTTTTAAAAATTAATTTTAAAATAACATAATAAAATGTGTACGTAGTATTTTTAATTATTTATTGAGTCAAGTTCAAGCTTTTTGAATGAGCTGAGTAATCGAGC